CGACGCTGTTTTTTGTAGGTCTCTGTTTATATATGACAGACGAGAATGTACGTGATTGATGGATAAAGATTAAGCCACCCAAGAGGTGGCACGGGCCTGAATAGCCCGTAAAGAATGTATGTGTGCTGGCTAGCATTACAAAGGAGTGGCCACGTCTGTGGTAGATAATACAGGTAAGGTAACTCACCCTGGAGGCGACGTAGTGAGACCACACTGTTTTGTTGGACATCTCCTCCCGATGGACATACACCACGAAGCTCTGGTTTACCTGCGGCAGGGTGAGGCGACGCTTAGAGCCGACTACCGGGGCCAGATTCACCAAGCAGTTACGCAAGCACGTACGAACGTGTACATCTTTCCTCAATCTTTGACGGCTTTGGGTACATTTATTAAACAGTTTACAAGCATGAGAACTTCACTATCAACTGTTGTTATTGTTATAAACAGCCTCCTGGTGCTTCGGAGCTCATTAACTGTTTAATAATTGTAAACAAAGCCGCCAATGATTGAGAAAAGACGTACAGGTTCGTAACTGCTTGGTGAATCTGGTCCCAGGGGCCAGGACGGATTCATCAAGCATTTCCATGTCCACTTACGAAACCTGTACATCTGTCCTCAATCATGGCGCTTTTGTTTACATGTATTAAACAATTTACGAGTTTAGAGGCTGTGAAGTGTTGTCTTTAACAATAGGAACCTTGGGTCGAGAACGACCTCGTGGCGTTGTCAATCTTGTAAATAGTTTAATAAATAGAGACTTAAGCCGCCATGATTGACAATAGATGTACAGGCTTCGTCATTGGACACGTAAATGCTTCACGAATACTGGCCCTGGTCATTAAGCACGAAACATGTTTATCCTAGGACACTGTAGCATAAGGGAGGGTGAGGGCGTTGACCACATGACCGTGTGAGATCAGGCATCACCCAACATTGATACGTTTGAGGGAATAAAGACCAGATATTGACTTGATTAGCTATCATGGGTAAAAGGCAGTTTCATTAGGAGCATCAGTGAGGTATTACTTGACTATTCGGGTCGCGGGGTGCTTACTGTGAAGACCTGGTCCTGGTGTGTGTGTGTGTGTGTGTGTGTGTGTGTGTGTGTGTGTGTGTGTGTGTGTGTGTGTACCTTTGACACACCTGGTGGTCGGGAACGGGTGAGACCCGACACTGGTGACAGAGTTATAATAAGCCAGAGGTGACTGTGGAGGTGGTGGGGGTATAGACCAGAGTGCCAGCGATGGCAGGGTAGAGTCCGGATCTAACACTGATGGTGGTGTTGAAGAAGAGACGGCAACTGACCTGGTGGCGGGGAATGGTGATCTCCTTGCACGGGTGTTGGGCAAAGCGCACCACATTGGCCGTCCTGATGTTGTTGACGTGGAACTTGATGTATCTGTATAACTCCGCCCTGATAAATATATGGTATAAGACTATAAGGCATAATTATCTTAGAATCTTAGTAACAGTCATCACATCGAGGAAAGTTACACTTCATTTCAACCAACAAATTTGTACAATTAAACAAAAATAATTCTTATTCCACTTTTCCCATCTGATAATGACATCATCACAGTATCATTTTGCTCCTGGTATTTGACACCTTCCTCCCTAGACAATGATGGTCTTGTGAGGAGGGTGTCCAATACCCTCCTCGCAAGGAGCGTATTGGACACCTCATTAGTATCTTCATATCTTCTCAACAAATGAAGATACTAATGCTTTATAAAACTAGTTTCCAAACAGCGCATAGCCTCATGGCCTTCATCCCGCACGGTTTCATAAACCTCTGGGGCCAGATTCACGAAGCAGTTACGCAAACACTTACGAACCTGTACATCTTTTCTCAATCTTTAGCGGCTTTGTTTACAATTATTAAACAGTTAATGAGCTCCGAAGCACCAGGAGGCTGTTTATAACAATAACAACAGTTGATTGGACAGTTTTCATGCTTGTAAACTGTTTAATAAATGTAACCAAAACCGTCAATGATTGAGGAAAGATGTACACGTTCGTAAGTGCTTGCGTAACTGCTTCGTGAATATGGCTCCTGGCCAGCCTACCCACAATCCTAAGATTAAGTATGACCTACTAATTAAGGAGTTCTTTAAGATTAACATTAATCACATTACTGTAATTAGACTTCTTCCTTTTAACTTGAACTTATATGCTGAGTTATAGGCGGGTTGAACGCCTTAGACCAGTGCGCGTGCTGCCGGTCTTCCACCACTGCCTACACGATGGCTGTGTTTTTTTTTCTACCACAGACGTGGCCACACATTTACAATGCTAATCAGCATATATACATTTTCTTCTGTCCTCCATGGACAGGGTTAGAGAAGTGTTAAACATACAGTTCAAGGGTTTATTGAACACTCAACCACAGAAGGTGATTCGGTGCTTTTAAAATGCTAAGCTAACCTACATACGTAAATACATAGATACACAGATTTACGTATGCCCTACATAAAGTGTTAGATTGGCTGTGGCAGGGAAACTGTTCTCCTACAAAGAACGTCGCATTTCGCTCGTATGCGTTACATAAGGCTAAAAATCGTTGTACTAGAAAATGGAAGCGGATCGCGAACGTGACGTACTCTCCCGTTTTCTGTTTTAGGTCCTCTGGGAGGTTAGGAGAGGTCACTTTACATTAACCGTTTTCTTGACGTTGAGCAACCTTAGGAGGACGGACTGAACTAATGCGACACCTGATTTTCTTGGCTTAAATTTGAGGTGTTGTTCTTGAAACTGTGTGTATGAGAGAAAGAGAGAGAGAGAGAGAGAGAGAGAGAGCGAGACTGACTCCTCTACCGCAGCCCACGTCATGGGTGAAGTTTAATCGTTAATTAAACTAAACGGATTAAAACTGTCACTAAACTATCAGTGTTTACGTTAGCAAACTTGTAAATAGTGGAACTGGTTATCAATATTAGCGTTTAGTTTTAAAGCCCATTATGTGGCTCTATATATTTGCACTCCCGCTCATAAATGGGTCTTGTCCACATAATTAATAATTTTAATAACTACAAAAAATCTTAATTATTCCCGAGAAGCGTTGAACAATATCCAATATGACCCATTTTCAAAATTATTGTGGAATATAGGTGGGTTACCCTTCTTGCAAGATTAGTTTTCTTTCTCAAGAAATATTGCTAAGAACAGCTGGGAATCGTTTAATTAACTTCCCAACTAACCTGTTCTCGCAAGCGTTCCCAACGTCAAAAAACTGTTGTATTAAAGTGCTCTTATTCTAACCTACCAGAGGACCCAAAACAGAAAACGGGACAGTACGTCACTTTCGCGAGCCGCTTCCATTTTCTAGTACGACAGTTTTTGGCCTTAGGTGGAGTATACGTCAAAATGCGACGTACGACAAGGAGGACGGGTTGTCTCATCACAGCCTAGATGAACGGATCTCTCTAGCAAAGATATGTATGAAATATGGGTTCTTCCATATTTGTCTAGGGGTGACATCCTTACCTGTAGACGCGGAGGGTGACAACTTACCCGTGGACGTGGAGGGTGACAACTTACCCGTGGACGTGGAGGGTGACAACTTACCCATGGAGGTCGAGGGTGACAACTTACCTGTGGAGGTCGAGGGTGACAACTTACCCGTGGACGTGGAGGGTGACAACTTACTCATGGACGTGGAGGGTGACAACTTACCCGTGGACGTGGAGGGTGACAACTTACCCGTTAACGTGGAGGGTGACAACTTACCCGTGGACGTGGAGGATGACAACTTACCCATGGACGTGGAGGGTGACAACTTACCCGTGGACGTGGAGGGTGACAACTTACCCGTGGACGTGGAGGGTGACAACTTACCCGTGGACGTGGAGGGTGACAACTTACCCGTGGACGTGGAGGATGACAACTTACCCATGGACGTGGAGGGTGACAACTTACCCGTGGACGTGGAGGGTGACAACTTACCCGTGGATGTGGAGGGTGACAACTTACCCGTGGACGTGGAGGGTGACAACTTACCCGTGGACGTGGAGGGTGACAACTTACCCGTGGACGTGGAGGGTGACAACTTACCCGTGGACGTGGAGGGTGACAACTTACCCGTGGACGTGGAGAGTGACAACTTACCCGTGGACGTAGAGGGTGACAACTTACCCGTGGACGTGGAGGGTGACAACTTACCCGTGGATGTGGAGGGTGACAACTTACCCGTGGACGTGGAGAGTGACAACTTACCCGTGGACGTGGAGGGTGACAACTTACCCGTGGACGTGGAGGGTGACAACTTACCCGTGGACGTGGAGAGTGACAACTTACCCGTGGACGTGGAGGGTGACAACTTACCCGTGGACGTGGAGGGTGACAACTTACCCGTGGACGTGGAGGGTAACAACTTACCCGTGGACGTGGAGGGTGACAACTTACCCGTGGACGTGGAGGGTGACAACTTACCCGTGGACGTGGAGGGTGACAACTTACCTGTGGATGTGGAGGGTGACAACTTACCCGTGGACGTGGAGGGTGACAACTTACCCGTGGACGTGGAGGGTGACAACTTACCCGTGGACGTGGAGGGTGACAACTTACCCGTGGACGTGGAGGGTGACAACTTACCCGTGGAGGTCGAGGGTGACAACTTACCCGTGGAGGTCGAGGGTGACGTTGAGGAGAGCGTTGAGGGGCCGCTGGTTGTAGTACTGCTCTTGTTCTATACCGGTGACGTGGACTCCCCCTCCCCCACGGTGCTTGGTGCGTGGGATCTCCGGCACCAGGATGTCCCGATCACCCATGATGGCCGCTCGCACCCATTGGTCCCAGTCTATACCCTGTGGCACAGATAGCTTTCTGATGAATAAATCAACAAGGGCCGTGATGAGGATTCGAACCCACGTTCGGGATGATCCTAGACTTTCTGATCTCTCAGAACCAGACGAAGTCTTTGCAAAGGTCCTTAATGAAAAGATAAGTTTTGCGAACCCTTGACATTCATATTTAATAAATCATTAGAATCGAACGGAGTTCCATTATATAGGAGAGTTGCAAATGTGGTGTGGATCTTTAGCAAAATATATTACTTGCTTCAAACTACGACCATTTGGCTTGAATCTATAATTGCAAAATCCATTCCTATACATCATGACAATCTTAGATTAATACACGATTTACAAGATAGCTAAACCAAGGGCCACTCATGTTTGACTAATTTGATTTTGTTCATTTTGTTCATGATGAGGCAGATTATTGTGGAAAGGCTTGGCATTCTACACCTTGACTTTAGGTATTGATACCATACCTCACGAAAGACAGAGTAGAACGGTAGAGGCTGAGTGTATTGCGGGAGTTATCTTAAGCTGAGCAAGGGCATAGCTATATCAAAGGAAACAAAATAAATGGAGTTAATCAGGGTGGCAGACCATTTCAACTGGCATGCACCAAGGTTCTGTCCATGGAGCTTTGTTGTTTAACATATAAATATTTGAATTAGACACAGGATTTGCAAAGTTGCAAACGATACAAAAATAGTGGGAGAAATAAATACAGAAGACTCAAAATAGCCTCAAGGCGATTTGATTTGGCTTTTAAAGTCGACAAAAGATTGGTAGATAAGTTTGTTGCTGAAAATGTTATGTTCAGGGCCTGGGAAATGATAATAATCACCCTATATCAGCTGGACAAAGTTGAAATTGCTAAATTTGAAAGCGTGAAAGATCTGGAAGTCATGATTCGGAGGAATGTTGTGCGTAAATATCAATGCATAATTGTGCGGAAAAAAGTGAAATGAGAAAGGAGTTATAACATTATCGGTCACTCAAGGTTTCATCAGTCGACCACTCAAGTGTTGTGTGATCGTCAGTTGCATCAGTGTATAAATTATACGAAATAACTCAAATATGATACTGGGGTTTAGTTGTAGAAGCGTAAGCAATAAAACACCTGACACTGTATTCATGGGAAGGTGTAACTCCACTTGTCTGTGTATATACACAAGAGAGTATACCTGAGTCCTGGACTTGTGTCCTTGCTGGCTTGTCAGTAGGCTATTGTGGTAGCCCTAATAACACAAGAGAAAGAAATTGCAGTAGGCAATCTATACTGTTATTATTAATATTACCCGGTACACTGTTGCATAAATTAACTACCCAGTTTCCAAACCAGTATTTACCAGTCTCTCTCCTGAATCTATACTTATAAATATATGTATAATGGATAACAGTTATAGGTGTATGAATACCGGGTATAAATTGGATATCAAGATTGCATCCCTACAATTTTTATCGAGAAACATCTGAAATAATTCTCCGGAAATTGTTGACTAGAATAAAGAACAGTAATTGAGGCTTGTGTGCTTGATATGAGGCAAATTCAAATGACATTTGGTTCAGCTGAACAAGAAACCTTTATTTTGAAATGTGGTAAAATATCTGCCCGTATCATTAAAGAAAAACATTATAAAACAATGTTGCCAGTGGTTCCACTTTGACCACTGACCAACGTTAACTATAATCAAAGGAATGCAGTATTTGTGCAGGATATCACAATTAGAGAAGATGTCAATTAGAGAATTACATCACAATTCACAGGATATCCCAATTAGAGAAGATGAATCTCAAGTTGTTGTAATCGCTTAGGGATCAAAATTCAAATGACGAGGCCTTGGTACACTATAATTTCCTTGAATGTGTGTTCACATATGTCTTTTAGTATAATTTAACGTATATAAAATATTTAGTATTTATATTAAACGTTGATCACTTCATTTTTCACCTGCAAAGATCTCAAATAACAGAGATCAAATGTCTAGTGATTTGTTTAAACAGTGATAAGCTTCTAATAATATCTATATTGAAGTTTTAAATAACAGCAGCGTTATAGGCTATAACACTTGGGTATGAACTCTTTTCTTACTATAAAAACTTACCGAGTTTAAAGCGGCCCACTTGCTGACCATCTCTTGGGCCACTGCCTTCCTGACCATCCAGCCGTAGTTGGGAAACCCGTGGACCCTGTAGAGGCGCGTGGGGTCGAGGGCCGTGTGGTTGAAGGCGTTGTAGTTGTAGGCGTTCACGCACAGCAACTTGGGGTCTGTCTCGAGCAGCGACGCTGTCTGGTGGAAGTACCTGGCGAGACAATGGCCACTTTTACCTGGTGAAGAGATCCTGGTCTGGGTAAAGTTATGAGTTGAGAGTGGTTTGAAGCTAAGCTTTCGTTGAGAGTGGTTTGAAGCTAGGCTTTTGTTGAGAGGGGTTTGGAGCTAGGTTTTGTTGAGAGTGGTTTGGAGCTAGGCTTTTGTTGAGAGGGGTTTGAAGTTAGGCTTTTGTTGAGAGTGGTTTGGAGCTAGGCTTTTGTTGAGAGGGGTTTGAAGTTAGGCTTTTGTTGAGAGTGGTTTGAAGCTAGGCTTTTGTTGAGAGGGGTTTGAAGCTAGGCTTTTGTTGAGAGGGGTTTGAAGCTAGGCTTTTGTTGAGAGTGGTTTGAAGTTAGGCTTTTGTTGAGAGTGGTTTGGAGCTAGGCTTTTGTTGAGAGTGGTTTGAAGTTAGGCTTTTGTTGAGAGGGGTTTGAAGTTAGGCTTTTGTTGAGAGTGGTTTGGAGCTAGGCTTTTGTTGAGAGGGGTTTGAAGTTAGGCTTTTGTTGAGAGTGGTTTGGAGCTAGGCTTTTGTTGAGAGGGGTTTGAAGTTAGGCTTTTGTTGAGAGTGGTTTGGAGCTAGGCTTTTGTTGAGAGGGGTTTGATGTTAGGCTTTTGTTACGAGGAATTTAAGCCTAGGAATTGGTTGAGAATGGGTTGAGCCTAAGCCATAGTTGAGAGAGGCTTGAGACATTTCTTATATCTATGTTGGTACACCATTCCATCTCTAACTTATTAACTGGAATATAACAAAACAGGTCAAGTAATTATTATTGATTGTGTTACCATTTTTGTTTTTAAATATTAGAATAAATCTTAATTAACCTCCCGGGATGAGGTTAATGAATGGTTTAATTTATACTCATGGGATGAGGTTAAGGAATGGTTTAACTTATACTCACGGGATGAGGTTAAGGAATGGTTTAACTGATACTCACGGGATGAAATCCGGAGAGAGATCGAGGTCGTCCTCGAGGATGATAGCTTTGTCGGCCTCAGGGTAGAGCTCAAACACCTTCGTTAAGACAAATCTTACATGATAACTGATTCGATTTGTCGAACCTGTGAAGAACAAGAGGCAGATAATCTGAGTGTTCGCTTATGAAGCACAAGCAATATCACCAACAGGTCATGCATGACGAATACTGAATACAAATGATTTTTGTAACTATAAAATTGACCATCTGACTGTAACACCGTCCAAAGTAGGAGGCCAGACGTTTAGGGCTAGTGTTGTCCAACTTTACAAGATGACACATGTGGAGAATGGGAGTGAGATTGACCAATCGGGGTCGCCCCCAATGCCAATCTTAAATAAATATCGACATCTATAGCGATGCTGAATTTGTAGGTTTGTTCCCTTAGATTTGTTGTAGTTTTTCAGTGACTCGTCCTTATTCTGAAAGGTCTAATCTGCATGAGGTACCTGGAGTTTTGCAATTACTTTATTCACTCTCGTATTCTTGAAGATATCCTCACAGTGTACCCAAAATTTGCCAGTGCAGGCTACTAAACATATGGCCCTGTATGACTAACAGTCCTGCGAGATGGGGACTTGTATTACCACTGCTACCTTATTCTATCTTGTGTTGATGATATCCTCAAAATGCATCCGGAGTCTGCCAGTGCAGACCGCTTATCACATGCCTCTGTATGACTAACCATCCTGTGTGATGGGGATTTCTTAGCATCACCTAGTTAGCTTTATTGACATACTGTACTCCACTTCATATAGTCTAGGGTAGCTGCACTAATGCAGATGTACCTCATTTCTTAATAAAAAAAAAATCATCCTTATTCACTCTGGTGTTCATGATATCCTCATAACGAACCCAGAGTCTGTCATTGCAGGCTACTAAACCTATGGCCCTGTATGACTAACCACCCTGCGAGGTAGAGACTTTTTAGTATCACTGCTGCCTTATTCACTCTTGTGTTCATGAAGATATTTTCATAATGCACCCAGAGTTTGCCAGTGCAGACTACTGATCACATGACCCTGTATGACTAACCATCCTGTGTGATGGGGAGTTTTAGCACCACGTAGCTAGCTTTTTGACACGCTGTATTTCCCTTCATATAGTGTAGGGTAACTGCACAAATGCACATGTACCTAAATGTGTTAATAAAATGAACCCAAATAAACAAAATTAGATACAGAATGAGAAAGGGGAGATTGGAGGATTGGAAGGGGAGAAAGACCTAGGTTCAAGTATGTTTATTGAGACAAGAAAAATACATCTCAAAGGGATAGAGTAGCTTGGGCTATTTCTACCCCCTAAAAAAGACCTAGGGACTGCCGGGATCCCCATCCTGTAAAATATATATAACGTAACCCAAACATATTAAATAAAAGTGATGACCTCCCGAACCCTTATTAGTTCAGGACAAGGATGAGAGAGAGTGTACAGGAAGACAAGAGGGAAGGTGAGGGTAAAGTGGGGAAGTAAAGCATGAAAAACGAGCTTATATGCGATCATAAGACAAACTGCAGAAGGCCTGTAGGCTCAAACGAGGCAGCTCGTAATGGCAAAGAATCAGTAAAATAGCAGAAAATGGAATCGGAAAAAAAGGAATAAAGGTGAAATTAGCCTTAAAATTCCTGATAAATGATGGTAGTGTACACATGGTGGTAGAAGCGTACCTCTGGGGACGGCGTCGTAGTGTTGGACTAGAGGGAGGTGGAGGAGGGCAGCCAGCGCCTGGGCCTCGGGGTTGTGGCCGTCGACAAAGATGGTGATGGGTGTGTTGGTGCCGCCGGGGCTGGCCCACACCTGCCCCACCTGACGCAGGACGTGGGGCAGCCGGCGAGCTGTCACTATGGCCACAGGGATCACCTCCTTCATCTCGTACTCCACCTTATACAAAACACTATTTTCTAACAACCTTCATAGTCTTCAAGCTAAAATTAGCTTTTGAAAATGTTTTAAAACTGCAATTTTGAAGTTAAGCATAATGTGATGTTATCTCAAGTTACATTAACAGTAACTTGGGTTTTGTTGGCGACTGTTTGTATTCGTAGTACGTGAGTGAAGTGTTTACAAATTTGCGATTTGAACAGAGGTCGTCAGCGAAGTACTGCTCGAGAAATGTTCAAACATCATCAGTTGAGTCGTGTGTAAAGAGTTGTTCATTCATAAACAGATTTGTGACTTTAGCAGCTGGATTAACAAGCATTTGGTCTCTGATGATGCTAGGCTGAACAGAGGGTTTGGAGAGCTGCATAGAATAACATTTGCCTTCTGTTGATGAGGATGGGCTGTTTTATTTGTAGTACGTGGGGGAAGCATTTACAAAGTTGTGGTTCGAACATAGAAAAAAACGAACTAATGTTTAATTATAGTTCGAACATCTTCGGGTTAGAGTATGAGTAATGTGTTTCCGTTCGTAAACATTCGTATGAACGAGAATTTGATCATTGTTGATGTGAATGAGCTGCGTGTCCAGGAATTCAAGAACGTGCGTCTCAATATTTACCTGTAGATGTGATTATAAAGTAAAACTAAATAAAGCTTCAGCAGTATATCAAGTGTTGTTGCAGAACTAGCCACAATATTTAATTGTGATTGATATATAAATATCTTACGGGTGAGTGTGGTTGAGGGGACCAGGGCGGGTCGTCACAGCTGCAGAAGTTATCGTATCCTTCGTATGTCTGGCAGAAGACTGCTCTCTCTTCCATTCCCTGTGATCCGTACCATCCACACGTCCGTTCTATAGGAACAGTTAATGTGAATAGCGTTGAACTGCATGGCCAACGCCCCTCACCACAATTGCCAGGGATGGTTAATATGGTTATTGTATGGTGATCACTCACAATATCCACATGACACTGACATCTCGTATACAGTTGTGTGCCAGGCCCAACACCACCTTCAATACTCACGTGTTTTGCGAGGTACAGAAACATGAAGAGTGAGCGGCGACACATCGAACTTGCTCAAGTTGCGTTGTGGGAGCGAGGTGACGAGGGCCTCCTGCAGCACCCCGCCGCCCTTGTGCACCAGCAGGCACCACACGTCCTTGTAGGCCAACCTGTCGATGTAGAGGGCGCCCATCTCCTCCAGCACCCGTATTGTCGCCTCCTCCAGGAACAACGTGAAGTCCGGCTGTCACACGAATCCCAGTTTATTACGTTCATTGATAAGATGGACGATTTCTATGTGATAACTTGATAGTTCAAGGCCAATAAAGTTTCTATTTGCAAACGACGTGACACCAAAAATCATGATTAAACGATTGGGTAGGTTAGAGGCCAGGCTTGGGGAGTAGAAGAACTCCCAGAACCCCATCAAGCAGGTACAGAAGGGTACATAAGAGAGAGAGAGAGAGAGAGAGAGAGAGAGAGAGAGAGAGAGAGAGAGAGGGGGAACTTAATAAAGATTATTTCATAATAGTTTGCAGTGTGAGATATAGTGGCATAAGAAATCGAGGATTACAACGAAATATTCTGATAAAAGAAATCAGGTATATCTTGCGTGCTGTTCATATGATGGAACCATATCTAATTTTCAATAATTTTTCGTACTGCACAATGCGTTATAGAGCGAATAATTATTAAAACTGAAAAGGAAAATTATATGTATACCTTGTCTCGAGAGAATCTGGGAGGTGAGAGAAAAGTTGCACGTTTCATCAAATATTTACGTGACCACTTACGAAACCTTTGCATCTTTCCTCATTCATGGCGACTTAGAGTGCATTTATTAAACGGTTTATGATCTCCGAAGCACCATGAGGTTGTTTATAACAATAACAACCATGGGTTGTGGAAGTTTCGATTCTCATAAACTGTTGAAAAATACAAACCAAAGCCTCCATAATTGAGAAATGATGTACAGGTTTCGCAAGTAGACAAGCTCGACGGATCCTGGCCCAGGACAAACAACAGTTCGAATGTTTGAACAGTTTGTACTCTTTATGTACGGGGTGCTGTGCTCAATTTCAACTTACCGCTCCCAAGATGACTAAGAGGCGGCCATCTTGAATTTTCTGCAAGGTCTCTGTAAACTGTCGGTCTGTAGTGCTGAGCCAGGTCATGTAGGCCGCTGTGGCCATGACCTGTCCTGTCAGCTGGTGCAGGGCGAGCAGGTGCAGGCCAGCGTGCAGCCGGCCCGGTGTCCCGCCCCACAATGCTGTTTTGTTAAGACTGCTGTACACCTGCCAGGGAGCCACAGTTGTATCAGCTCTAATCTACTCTAATCTGCCAACTCTAATTGGCAGACAAACAAAACATCAGAATTCCCACTAAATTTTTTTTGGCATTGAAATATTTAATGAGCACATATAGAATAGTGATTTAAGGGTTAGAATAATGATTTAAGAATAGAGGACGTTCTATTTTATCTATGGGTTAGTCAATGGGTAATCTTTGGGTTAGAATAATGATTTAAGAATAGAGGACTTTCTTTTTTAATGATCCAAATTTGGATTTGGATCTATCGCAATCATAAACGTAAGATAAATGCAGCTTCTCAATTTAAATCTGAATAATAGTATCAAAGTCATAAAATATAACGAGTTTTGATTGGTGACGCACAAGGAATTCCAGTAGCATAAAAATCATAAAATATCCATGTGAGTGAGTAAGGCATTCTTAGCCAATCCTGACGTTATTCGCGTTAAACAAATCTAATGTCAGAAAGGTACTGCCGACCGTCCACTGATATAGTTACACCCGTGATGTTTACTGTGATATCCAGAGTACACTTACCTGGTGACCGTCCACTGATATAGTTACACCCGTGATGTTTACTGTGATATCCAGAGTACACTTACCTGGTGACCGTCCACTGATATAGTTACACCCATGATGTTTACTGTGATATCCAGAGTACACTTACCTGGTGACCGTCCACTGATATAGTTACACCCGTGATGTTTACTGTGATATCCAGAGTACACTTACCTGGTGACCGTCCACTGATATAGTTACACCCATGATGTTTACTGTGATATCCAGGGTACACTTACCTGGTGACCGTCCACTGATATAGTTACACCCGTGATGTTTACTGTGATATCCAGGAGTAGATTGTCCTTATCCTTGAGTTCCTTAGAGTGTGAATCCTTAGCTTCCTTTATGTATTCAATTAAGGAAGCTTCAGCTACTTCTTGACGTCTAGGAATGACAGCTTGAGATGCCTCTTGAAGTCTAGATGTTGAAGATTGAGCTGCCGCCTGTTGTCTAGGATGTGAAGGTTGAGCTTCCTCTTCATGTCCAGGAATGGGAGCGTGAGTTGCCTTTTGACGTCTAGGAACTGGAACGTTAGCTGATTTTTGACGTCTAGGAATTGAAACGTTAGCTGATTTTTGACGTCTAGGAATTGAAACGTTAGCTGATTTTTGACGTCTAGGAATTGAAACGTTAGCTGATTTTTGACGTCTAGGAATTGAAACGTTAGCTGATTTTTGACGTCTAGGAACTGGAACGTTAGCTGATTTTTGACGTCTAGGAACTGGAACGTTAGCTGATTTTTGACGTCTAGGAATTGAAACGTTAGCTGATTTTTGACGTCTAGGAATTGAAACGTTAGCTGATTTTTGACGTCTAGGAACTGGAACGTTAGCTGATTTTTGACGTCTAGGAACTGGAACGTTAGCTGATTTTTGACGTCTAGGAATTGAAACGTTAGCTGATTTTTGACGCCTAGGAATTGAAACGTTAGCTGATTTTTGACGTCTAGGAACTGGAACGTTAGCTGATTTTTGACGTCTAGGAATTGAAACGTTAGCTGATTTTTGACGTCTAGGAATTGAAACGTTAGCTGATTTTTGACGTCTAGGAATTGAAACGTTAGCTGATTTTTGACGTCTAGGAATTGAAACGTTAGCTGATTTTTGACGTCTAGGAATTGAAACGTTAGCTGATTTTTGACGTCTAGGAATTGAAACGTTAGCTGATTTTTGACGTCTAGGAATTGAAACGTTAGCTGATTTTTGACGTCTAGGAATTGAAACGTTAGCTGATTTTTGACCTGGAACGAAATCCTCATCGGCCTCTTCATTACCATTAAGGAGAACTTTGGCATCTTGACTGCTTCCTGGTAGAGAAAATCCAGCAGCATTCAGAGCTTCAGGATCTGAGGCATTTCCAGCTTCTGGAATCCTGTGTTGGGAGACTCCAGATACCTTTTCATGTAATGTCTTATGAAGGCGCAAATTACCACTGTGATGAGCTAAGAGCTTCCGTTGACGAACATTATTTTTAATTTGTTCTTCCTTATACGTCCTCACTGTTCTTCCAAGTGTGATGGTGGTGGATCTAGATGCGCCTTCACTGTCTTCCACACCAACACCGATCGTGCCAGCATGTGTCTTTTCACTGTTTATCACATCTAGTAAGCTACTGTTGCCATTCCTATCTCCCACATCTCTATCACTAGACAGTTTCTTACCAATATGTTCTATTGTATGTTGTTTTCTTGCACTCCTCACAGTTGTAGTCAGTGTGTTACCACCACTATCAACTTTAGAAAGCATCTTTTCGGCGTTCACAGTTGCCACATTCAGTCCACCTTCGTCCCGCGAGTAGTTGAGGTAGATGAGAATGAGAACATACACCTGGGTGAGGAGAGTGATGGCAACCACGCGTTGCTGGGTAGTCATGGCAACCATTATGGCGGGAGAGGAGACGTGCCTAAGACAATCAGGATTCTATCGCTGCAGTTGTAGAAGGATAATATATTATAGCTCAGTTTTACTTGGTTGTGAAAGGCTGGTATATCCTCAGTGTGGAGCCTCACACTGGTATATCCTCAGTGTGGAGCCTCACACTGGTATGTCCTCAGTGTGGAGCCTCACACTGGTATATCCTCAGTGTGGAGCCTCACACTGGTATGTCCTCAGCGTGGAGCCTCACAGTGGTATGTCCTCAGCGTGGAGCCTCACACTGGTATGTCCTCAGCGTGGAGCCTCACACTGGTATGTCCTCAGTGTGGAGCCTCACACTGGTATGTCCTCAGCGTGGAGCCTCACACTGGTATGTCCTCAGCGTGGAGCCTCACACTGGTATGTCCTCAGCGTGGAGCCTCACACTGGTATGTCCTCAGTGTGGAGCCTCACACTGGTATGTCCTCAGCGTGGAGCCTCACACTGGTATGTCCTCAGCGTGGAGCCTCACACTGGTATGTCCTCAGTGTGGAGCCTCACACTGGTATGTCCTCAGCGTGGAGCCTCACACTGGTATGTCCTCAGCGTGGAGCCTCACACTGGTATGTCCTCAGTGTGGAGCCTCACGCTACAGTGGCCGGCCTGTGAGGTGGCAGTCTTACCTCAGGCAACCTGCGTCTCTTGCTGCCATACGCTGAGGTTACACTTTAATATTTGTATTCATCTTCCTGGAAGGAATACTGTAACTCATGAGATCCAGGTCATGGGGAAATACTATCATATGCCTTGTAATGAGTGAATCTGAACGCTAGTAGTTTTGGCATTGTTGGCAATTATAACTATATATACTAAGGTCAATCTGACATATGATCCGCGGAAGGGATATATTAACCGAGAAGTATACTCCACTTCTGTGTATATACACGGAGTTTATTGTAGTCGTAAGATTATGCTCAGGATAAAAGTATATTTCCTGGTTGGTCATTAGATGTTGTGGCGGCCTTTATAACCCTCCAGAGGTTGATAGGCCTTAAGGCTCAACACCAAACTTGCTGGTTGGTTTTAGGCTATTTTAGCGGCCTCATATTCTTCGTTCCCCATGGTCGGTACAGGAAGCCTTTCCCAAGATGCCAGAAACAACAGATCTCTAACTCACAAGTATCTATTTCTGCATATTAGTAGCTTTATATAAAGTAATCGTCCGTATCTTGCTTCATATATACATTATATCAATAAAAGTATTATTACACAGAGTAATCACACTAACGTGACTGCATCAAAATACATACGTTCGAGCCCTCATCACTGCTTCTACGGATTTTCTCAAAATTATTACTATTATTATATTATGAATGGAAATATGCCCAACTGTCTCTGTCCCGCAATGGGATTAAAACCCTTGGTCCCTCGGTTGAGACGCCAAGACATAGACTACTGTGCTACAGGACCCCTAGGAGGCTGAGCATACTGTGTACGGTGTAGGAAGGGTGACTTCGCCACACAGTAACTCCAGCAACTGTATGCTGGTAGAGTACAAAGTTGGGACGTTATTTTTATGAGAAGCCTTGGCACAAGAATGGTATATAATTTATAATATAATTTATACTAGAATATTTTGAACATTTTGTATAGAGTTCTCCTAATTTTTTCCTCGCATTTATTTACTTACGCATGATAATAAATATGTTTAGAAGAGTTTACATTTAGTGACGTGTTTACTCTAAGTATGGGAATAAATATATATGTATATGTGGGAAATCCACAAAGAAATGGGAAGGGAGATGCATACAAATGATCAGTGTTTCGTGATCGTCAATTGCATATGTGTATATATATATATTTTAATTATGTTATACCACAGATGTGGCCACAAACTTACAATGCTAACCAGCATATATACATTCTCTTCTGCTCTCCACGGACAGGATTAGATATTTGTCAAACATATAGTTCCGTGATTTATTGAACAATCAATCAACCTGTGTTCAGATTGTTGAACAATCAACAATTGTCGTATATGTGTATATATATATATATATATATATATATATGTCGTACCTAGTAGCCAAAACTCACTTCTCAGCCTACTATGCAAGGCCCGATTTGCCTAATAAGCCTAGTTTTCATGAATTAATGTTTTTTCGTCTACCTAACCTACCTAACCTAACCTAACCTAACGTTTTCGGCTACCTAACCTAACCTAACCTATAAAGATAGGTTAGGTTAGGTTAGGTAGGGTTGGTTAGATTCGGTCATATATCTACGTTAATTTTAACACCAATAAAAAAAATTGACCTCATACATAATGAATTGGGTAGCTTTATCATTTCATAAGAAAAAATTAGAGAAAATATATTCATTCAGTAAAACTTGGCTTATTAGGCAAATCGGGCCTTGCATAGTAGGCTGAGAAGTGAGTTCTGGCTACTAGGTACGACATATATATATATATATATATATATATATATATATATATATATATATATATATATTTATTGGTGTATACTGGCAGCAGGTTTTCTTTCAAACATGTTTCATTGAATATGACCGCATATTCTGTATTTATTATTTTCTGGTTTAGGGCTTCTATCCCTCTAAGTATTTTCTTAGCATCAGGGCTTAATTGAAATAGGAGTTCTCCAAAACTCATTTTCGTACTTTTAAGGTGAAGAAAAGAAGTGATTTACTATAGAGTGTATTACACTTATTTGTATAATTTGCACGACGTTTCGAACCTCCATGGTTCATTCTCAAGTGAACAGATCTTACAATACTAGTTGATTTTATACCCGCATTAGGTCAGGTGATAATACAATGAAGGTGAAAACATGGGGGGATACATAAGGGATAAACATAGGGGCTGCAGAAGGCTTATTGGCCCATACGAGGCATCTCCTATCTAAACACAAAGATTAATCCAGTGTAATTGGCCTGTTATGTTGGACATTGTCTTCTGTGTTGGCATCGATATGTTCTTGTCTTGTCCTTACTTCGTAAGTAAGTAAGGACAGGTAAGTTTTCACCTTCATTGTATTATCACCTGACCCAGTGCGGGTATAAAATCAACTAGTATTGTAAGATCTGTTCACTTGAGAATGAACCATGGAGGTTCGAAACGTCGTGCAAATTATACAAATAAGTGTAATACACTCTATAGTAAATCACTTCTTTTCTTCACCTTAAAAGTACGAAAATGAGTTTTGGAGAACTCCTATTCCAATTAAGCCCTGATGCTAAGAAAATAGTTAGAGGGATAGAAGCCCTAAACCAGAAAATAATAAATACAGAATATGCGGTCATATTCAATGAAATATATATTTATATATATATATTATATATATATAAATATATATATATATATATATATATATATATATATATATATATATATATATATATATATATATATATATATATATATATATATATATATATATATATATATATATATATATATATATATATATATATATATATATGCGAACAAGCCTGAATGAACAAGCGAGTCATATATATATATATATATATATATATGACTCGCTTGTTCATTCAGGCTTGTTCGCATATATATATATATATATATATATATATATATATATATATATATATATATATATATATATATGCGAACAAGCCTGAATGAACAAGCGAGTCATATATATATATATATATATATATATATATATATATATATATATATAAAGTTTCCAACCTTAAGGAATAAGGAATATAAGTTTCCAACCTTAGCCTGGCTCTCCAAACACACTAGCATATCCAGTACTGTAACCAATACACCATGACTGACTGTTCTAAAGTCATTGTTAGTCGGAGACTATTTACCCAACAACCCGACAGCACTCGCCAGGCTATCTAAGGTTCAGATCGGACACGAGGAAGAGATTTTGAAAACATTTCAGGCTCGCGTTTTCCTCAATAGTGAATGGATTTGATGAAAATGATTTATGATCTATTGCCAAGCGAGTGCCGTCGGATTGTTGGGTAATTAGTCTACGACTACCAATGTCTTTTGATGTATAAACGTGATGTATAAATAAATATCATTTTGAGACAATGAAGTGACCTGAACCAGCGTTCTGGTGAGTCCCAGACACCTACCTTCAACGACACGGCCACAGTGGGCTAAAAGTCGACATAGACAACTGTGCTACAGTAGTCTATGTCGTCTATTGAATTCAGTGGGTACGGAGGCCCCTAACCGAAGGACTCCAGAACCTCTGGGTCAGTGTGATTTCATTGTGATCAGAGTGTGACGTAAGAGTGTGAACACCATTACCGAAGAACATAGTGTGGTGGGTAAAATCCTTGTTGGGTTCTGGTTCGGGGCCTCTAGGACCTCCCATTGAATTCAGTAGCGTTCAGGGGTAGTCGACTTTTAGCCTATCGTAGCCGAGTGGGTTAAGGCAGGTGTCTGGGAATCACCAGAACGCTGGTTCAAGTCATTCCATTGTCTCAAAATGATTTTCAGTGCTACTCTGTCTTGACGTGTTGGTGTGTCCTGCAGTGTCGCAATCCTTCCGGGCGCCATGTTGTGCTAGAATATTCAATGGTGATAATATAAATATTACGCCGTTTCATTAATCTGTGGATCTAAGTGCTCTAATTTTCAACATTTTCACATGGTTGAAAATGAGTATAGATGGATTTTGGGTGCCACAAAAGAACACACACACACAAACAAACACACACACACACACACACAGTTGAGAGGCGGGACTAAAGAGCCAAAGCTCAACCCCCGCAACCACAACTAGGTGAGTACACACACACTGGCGTACACAGTCAACTACTATACGTCATAGTGTAGGAGATTGGTGAGATTGAGCTCATCTGAGAGTGAGAGGGGCGGTGCCCTGAGGGCCACGTGCTGGGTGCTGGGGATCCTCCTGAAGGGATGGTTGTCCGCGTAATCCACGTCCTCCTGTGTCACTCTGTAGATCTTCTCTGCGTCCTTAGTCATGCTGTAGGAAGTGCAAGAGGGAGAGAGAGACTTTAGCCACATGACAAGTATGAGGACGACAATATAGGGACACTGCTTGCAGCTTAGAGATAATTCCATTATATTGCCTAAATTATCTTAAGATCGTCGTTATTTCTCTTCACTCTCTCATCAGTTTCAGTAACTTTATGTTTCTTTTCTGAAAAATTACAGTTTTAAATATAGTAATTTATTCCAAGGACCTACGGCTTCGATGGTCAGCGGGTCAGCATAGGTATAGCAGGGCAGGTCAGTACTTGTATAGTAGGGCAGGTCAGTACTGGTATAGCAGGGCAGGTCAGTACTGGTATAGCAGGGCAGGTCAGTACTGGTATAGCAGGGCAGGTCAGTACTGGTATAGCAGGGCAGGTCAGTACTGGTATAGCAGGGCAGGTCAGTACTGGTATAGCAGGGCAGGTCAGTACTGGTATAGCAGGGCAGGTCAGTACTGGTATAGCAGGGCAGGTCAGTACTGGTATAGCAGGGCAGGTCAGTACTGGTATAGCAGGGCAGGTCAGTACTGGTATAGCAGGGCAGGTCAGTACTGGTATAGCAGGGCAGGTCAGTACTGGTATAGCAGGGTAGGTCAGTACTGGTATAGCAGGGCAGGTCAGTACTGGTATAGCAGGGCAGGTCAGTACTGGTATAGCAAGGCAGGTCAGTACTGGTATAGCAGAGCAGGTCAGTATTGGTATAGCAGGGCAGGTCAGTACTGGTATAGCAGGGCAGGTCAGTACTGGAATAGCAGGGCAGGTCAGTACTGGTATAGCAGGGCAGGTCAGTTCTGGTATAGCAGGGCAGGTCAGTACTGGTATAGCAGGGCAGGTCAGTACTGGTATAGCAGGGCAGGTCAGTACTGGTATAGCAGGGCAGGTCAGTACTGGTATAGCAGGGCAGGTCAGTACTGGTATAGCAGGGCAGGTCAGTACTGGTATAGCAGGGCAGGTCAGTACTGGTATAGCAGGGCAGGTCAGTACTGGTATAGCAGGGCAGGTCAGTACTGGAATAGCATGGCAGGTCAGTACTGGTATAGCAGGGCAGGTCAGTACTAGTATAGCAGGGCAGGTCAGTACTGGTATAGCAAGGCAGGTCAGTACTGGTATAGCAGGGCAGGTCAGTACTGGTATAGCAGGGCAGGTCAGTACTAGTATAGCAGGGCAGGTCAGTACTGGTATAGCAAGGCAGGTCAGTACTGGTATAGCAGGGCAGGACGTTCGTTTATCGCGAGAATATGACATGGACAACTGCTGAAGTCATCTAGTCATTAGGTGCCGGTGACGATTCGGCCAAATTTGTTGAGCCAAATATAAAAATAGGATCCAAAGTGTCAAGATATGCTGCACTTCAAATACTAGGACAAAAACAGTGGAAAGATAATGTGGAAATAATTACCACCATTTTGTATCAAGGAGCAGTCGCTAAAGGCAAAGGCCTCAACATAACTTTAAACTGGATCCCATCCCATATTGGAATCCCATTAAATGAAAAAGCTGATGAAATTGCTAAATTGGCAACTCGTCATCCAGTGATACATAAAACAATTCAACCCAGCCTAGAGAACAACCCAGCCTAGAGAACATAAAAAACATCATCACCAAAAAACTCTCACATCTCAACAAAGCCGACCTACACCAGAGAATAGCTGAAGGTTCGCCATCTGCAACATGGTATCTTCAGGCAACCAAATTAGAAAGGTTAAATATCCCAAAAGGAATCCACAGGGAAATAGCAGTTAGGCTATATAGACTACGTCTAGGTTACAGATGCAACTGGGAGATTGGTGAACCCCGACAGAGAGAGTGCATCTTCTGCCAAACTGTCACAGAAAAGCCATTACTTCACTATCTTCTGGAATGTGAAGCAACCAATGACCTTAGAAGAGCTTTAAGAGTTCCTGAATCATGCAGTGGCCACCCTGAAGCCATCAACACAGCCACTCTCCTGGTCAACAAGGGTGTCCAGCAGCTGGACACCCTCATAAAGACTGTGAAGCAGTATCCTCCCCCACGATAACAGCTTGATGGTTAAATACAACCTCAGAACACTGGGAAAAAAAAAATTGTACCACTTACGGGCTATTCATGCCCGTGCCACCTCTTGGGTGGCTTAATCTTTATCAATCAATCTGTCAAGATATGACACACGTGGCGCTCTTCCATTCTCTTGGACAAGTTCATCTCATGCCTGTGAACGCAGACTTTCACATGGTGTTCTCCTCGTTTTGGCATATCATGATTGTTGCTTGTTTGTAAACAACCTGAAACCAAATCACTGATTCCAGCTTGCCACAAGATTTTGAATATCCCATATATCCCATCACGATGCAGTAATATGTGCAGTGACTCACCAGAAGGGGGAGTTGGGGCAGCCGACGACGTAGAGCTGGTTCCCGTAGAAGGAAGCTGTGTACATCATCTGCAGGTTCTCGTGGAAGATGTGGTCATCGAGGCCCAGACACTGACGGATATGTCACCGTGTTTAAGCAAGTTATCAGGGATATCTATTCAAAAGAAAATGAACTTAAAAAAAGCATGCATAAAAATATTATGAGAATAATGGCGAGGAAAATTGTGTAGTCAATCAAATGAATCAAATCAACGCAAGGTGGGTGGTTCTTACACGCCTGAAATGAGAGTGTGGCAGTATGGTCAAGCGACTCACCCTGGCGGCGACGTAGTAGGCCCCAGAGGAGCTCTTCAGCTCATTCGGCTGGTCCACATACACCACGTAGCTCTGGTTCACCTGGAGAACGGCAGGATATGTTATGGTGGGACAGCGGAGGTGACCAGCTGGGGGTCTGCATCATGGGGTGGGGTGACCAGCTGGGGGTCTGCATAATGGGCTGGGGTGACCAGCTGGGCGCTGCATCATGGGGTGGGGTGACCAGCTGGGGGCTGCATCATGGGGTGGGGTGACCAGCTGGGGGCTGCATCATGGGGTGGGGTGACCAGCTGGGGGCTGCATCATGGGGTGGGGTGACCAGCTGGGGGCTGCATCATGGGGTGGGGTGACCAGCTGGGGGCTGCATCATGGGGTGGGGTGACCAGCTGGGGGCTGCATCATGGGGTGGGGTGACCAGCTGGGGGCTGCATCATGGGGTGGGGTGACCAGCTGGGGGCTGCATCATGGGGTGGGGTGACCAGCTGGGGGCTGCATCATGGGGTGGGGTGACCAGCTGGGGCTGCATCATGGGGTGGGGTGACCAGCTGGGGCTGCATCATGGGGTGGGGTGACCAGCTGGGGGCAGCATCATGGGGTGGGGTGACCAGCTGAGGGCTGCATCATGGGGGAAGACTGGATATTCAAGTATAGCCACAGATCTATATCAACTCTATCTCATGAAGACAACGTAAAGGTAACCTCATATTGGCACAGTACTTGGCACTCACCTGGTGCCGGGGTATGGGCAGCTGACATTGGCACTCACCTGGTGCCGGGGTATGGGCAGCTGACATTGGCACTCACCTGGTGCCGGGGTATGGGCAGCTGACATTGGCACTCACCTGGTGCCGGGGTATGGGCAGCTGACATTGGCACTCACCTGGTGCCGGGGTATGGGCAGCTGACATTGGCACTCACCTGGTGCCGGGGTGTGGGCAGCTGACATTGGCACTCACCTGGTGCCGGGGTATGGGTGTAATGACCGCTTTCCCTGTGGTAATAACCGCGGCCTCTATTGTAATAACCCAATGTTCCCCAGTATTAATCCTGTTATCGTGTTATCTCTCGTGATCGTAATATACGCTCTCTGTTGTACATCCCTGTCTTCACTCAATACCCCAGCTTAACACTGTTACAGTCCAGCATGACCCCTCACTGGACTGCCACGTATGTAAGAGGAATATTAAATGAGGAAGATACACCAAGGACAAGGGTTATTAGTTAAAAAAAACAATAACAAAACACATTTACACTGCCACCACCTTCCCGACCAACCATACCTGAATGTGTCTTATCACCGATCCCCCAGGAAGGCAAGGAATCAGTAACCATGGGACTCCGGGTAATATGAATTACAGTAATAAATTTTGGAAAAATTAGTTTGTTTAATTCCCGTTACTTATTTGAATCCAAGGGTAACTTTAGTATCCATTAATAGTAGGAGGACATGGGGGCTTCCAATACAACACCTAAAAATGACAAAGAAGCAAAATATATCAAAGGGGAGTTAAGTGAATACCACTGGACAAGCTATACAATTTATTTTATGAAACATGTAAATTAAGTCAATTTGAACACATCACCTATTCTATTCCCTAGAGGCACAATGGATATTTACCGAGGACACAAAACTCAAGTGCTACTATACCTTAAATACCCGCACTACGGCCACGATGTTGATGGCTGCCCTCAGCCCCGAGGATACGGGCTTGCGGCCCTGTTCCTAATACACTCCCAAGACACACTAATGAAATTTAGTTTTTCCAACTTATTGCTGGGAAGGATTACTCCTCCCACCATCTAATACAGCCCCAGGGCTCCACCCATTATTTTGGCACTGGCCAACCATTTAACACGTAGGCCTGAGGTCTGGCTCTCTAGGGCCAATAAGGACTTGGCCCTTATCTCAGGCCAATCACCTTCACTGATCTGTCGTGGAAAGCTACATGAATTTCTGAAGATTGAGTCAGCTCTCCCCAGCTACAGAGAAGGGGGATAAGGCGCGTCTATGGAGCCCAGGCACCTGCGAGCAATGTTTACAAAACTGATAATTTATGTTCAAGCCTGTCTCCTCTAAGATAGAAGTAGGGACATTTGACTCTGCCTGGTATGGGGAAGGCCGCTGCTGAGAGGGAAAGAGAGGGAATGAGAGGGAAAAAGAGGGGGAAGTTGAGTGGGAGAAGCCAAGGTATCCACGACCACCCTACCCTCAGGTCAACCTCTTGACCCTGACAAATGGGCGACAGGGGGGGGGGAAGAGGAGGAGACGAATGACGGCCAAGGGGAGGGGAGAAGGAAGGAGGGGAGAGGGAGAAGGAAAGGAGGGGAGAAGGGGAGGGAAAAGAGGGGAGAAGGGAGAACCAATGATCTGAGCCCCAGATCATTACATGGGCAGCTGACATTGGCACTCACCTGGTGCCGGGGTATGGGCAGCTGACATTGGCACTCACCTGGTGCCGGGGTATGGGCAGCTGACATTGGCACTCACCTGGTGCCGAGGTATGGGCAGCTGACATTGGCACTCACCTGGTGCCGGGGTATGGGCAGCTGACATTGGCACTCACCTGGTGCCGGGGTATGGGCAGCTGACATTGGCACTCACCTGGTGCCGGGGTATGGGCAGCTGACATTGGCACTCACCTGGTGCCGGGGTATGGGCAGCTGACATTGGCACTCACCTGGTGCCGGGGTATGGGCAGCTGACATTGGCACTCACCTGGTGCCGGGGTATGGGCAGCTGACATTGGCACTCACCTGGTGCCGGGGTATGGGCAGCTGACATTGGCACTCACCTGGTGCCGGGGTATGGGCAGCTCCACACACGGGTGCTTACTGAAGTGCACCACATGTCCTGTACGGATGTTGTTTGTGTGCAACTTGAGGTAGTTGTGCAGCTCTGCCCTGTGGACCAGCACGTGTTACTTGTACAGTATTGTTTCACTTTATATTGGAATGGAATTTAGTTGATCAATTTAAACAAAATTGGTTGATTGTGATAATAATATCACCGTGCTTGCATTTGACCATTTCTTTGTTTATATAGTAAAAAAAATAACCATCGCAGAAAAACTAAGGGGTAATTATCGGTTACGATTTCTTATTATTTAACCCGTAAGCTTCGTAAACGCTTTTGCTGTTCAATATAGTAAAGCTCAATATTGCTATGTTCAGTATTGCTATGATCAACAGTATTATGTTCATCATTGTTATGTTTAGCATCGCTATGTGCAATATTTCAGAAAATCTAATAATTCGCTCTGAACCAAAGGACAAATGAACAGAAAAGTATTGTGAGTTTTGGGAAAATAAATTTAAAGCCAGTTAGGTGCTAAAGTTTGAGAGCAGTGAGTTAAAAAGTGGGAATTCACCTCAGAGGTGCCTTTACAATGTGTGTGCATTTAAGGTAAAGTCTGTTTTAAAGTTCAATTACAGTTTATAGGAATCCATGTAATCATTGCCTCTATGATATTCATGTATCAGTTTGGGAAGTTTTTTTTTATAATTTTGTATAATAAATTGCTTTTTACATTTTTATGGTGTTAGTGAATTTTTTCCATTTAATACAGAATGAAAGATATTGAATAACGTTCATTCAACGTTATTGAACATTTAATGAACGTTTATTGAACGTTATTGAACGTTTAATGAACAATGAATTAACGTTAGATCTAAGTTTAGTCAACAATTAATGAACATTAAATTCAAGTTCAAGTAAATGCATTAAGACAATGAGATACATCTCAAAAGGATAGAGTAGCTTAGGCTGTTTCTACCCTCCTAAATGTTCAATGTTAGATAAAAGTTTAATCAACAGATCAACATTGTCAACATTACCTCAACGTCATTTGCTCAGGGGATTTTTACCCGTGGACGTGGAGGGTGACAACTTACCCGTGGACGTGGAGGGTGACAACTTACCCGTGGACGTGGAGGGTGACAACTTACCCGTGGACGTGGAGGGTGACAACTTACCCGTGGACGTGAAGGGTGACAACTTACCCGTGGACGTGGAGGGTGACAACTTACCCGTGGACGTGGAGGGTGACAACTTACCCGTGGACGTGGAGGGTGACAACTTACCCGTGGACGTGGAGGGTGACAACTTACCCGTGGACGTGGAGGGTGACAACTTACCCGTGGACGTGGAGGGTGACAACTTACCCGTGGACGTGGAGGGTGACAACTTACCCGTGGACGTGGAGGGTGACAACTTACCCGTGGACGTGGAGGGTGATAACTTACCCGTGGATGTGGAGGGTGACAACTTACCCGTGGACGTGGAGGGTGACAACTTACCTGTGGACGTGGAGGGTGACAACTTTCCCATGGACGTGGAGGGTGACAACTTACCCGTGGACGTGGAGGGTGATAACTTACCCGTGGACGTGGAGGGTGACAACTTACCCGTGGACGTGGAGGGTGACAACTTACCCGTGGACGTGGAGGGTGACAACTTACCCGTGGAGGTCGAGGGTGACGTTGAGGAGAGCGTTGAGGGGCCGCTGGTTGTAGTACTGCTCTTGTTCTATACCGGTGACGTGGACTCCCCCTCCCCCACGGTGCTTGGTGCGTGGGATCTCCGGCACCAGGATGTCCCGATCACCCATGATGACCGCTCGCACCCACAGGTCCCAGTCCATATCCTGTGGCAGTCAACCGTTAGCTCTCAATCATAGTTTAATTATTATCCTATACTGAATGTGGATCACGAGGTGGTAAATGGTCCAGATGAACTTTGGGATAATTAACCAAAAGTCTGTCAACAAACAAAGTCACTTTGTCCTTGCACCATCATGGAGCCCATTAATCTGGTTTTCTAATAATGTACCCGTTCACTGAACAGTTAAGGGGCAAAAGTCTCTATGAAGATATAAATAAAATATTTATCTTGAATTGCTGGAGTGTTTCAAGCATAGGTTAGACATATAAACATAAATGTGTTTGGGTGAATATAAATGGAAGCTGCATCGTATGGGACAATATAGGTCTTCTGCAGCTTCTTTTATTATTATGCCTCGTGTTGAATCCTTATACCTGGTCCGTAGGAACCCAGTTGTTGATCATCTCCGTGCCCACATTCCTCCTGACCATCCAGCCGTAGGCAGGGGCCCCGTGGACCCTGTAGAGGCGCGTGGGGTCGAGGGCCGTGTGGTTGAAGGCGTTGTAGTTGTAGGCGTTCACGCACAGCAACTTGGGGTCTGTCTCGAGCAGCGACGCTGTTTGGTGGAAGTACCTGGCGAGACAATGGCCACTTTTACCTGGTGAAGAGATCCTGGTCTGGGTAAAGTTATGAGTTGAGAAGCGTTCGAAGCTAAGCTTTTGTTGAGAGGGGTTTGAAGTTAGGCTTTTGTTGAGAGGGGTTTGAAGTTAGGCTTTTGTTGAGAGTGGTTTGAAGCTAGGCTTTTGTTGAGAGGAGTTTGATGTTAGGCTTTGGTTACGAGGAGTTTAAGCCTAGGAACTGATTGAGAATGGGTTGAGCCTAAGCCATAGTTGAGAGAGGCTTGAAACATTTCTTATATCTATGTTAGTACACCATTGCATCTCTAACTTATTAACTGGAATATAACAAAACAGTTCAAGTAATTATTATTGATTGTGTTACCATTTTTGTTTTTAAATATTAGCAGTAATACTTATACCCACGGGAAGAGGTTACGGAATGGTTTAATTTATTCTCACGGCATGAGGTTAAGGAATGGTTTAATTTATTCTCACGGGATGAAGTTAAGGAATGGTTTAACTTATACTCACGGGATGAAATCCGGAGAGAGATCGAGGTCGTCCTCGAGGATGATAGCCTTGTCGGCCTCAGGGTAGAGCTCAAACACCTTCGTTAAGACAAACCTTATATGATTGTTGACACTTTTTATCGAACCTGTGAAGAAAAGATCAAGAATGGTGCAATGTTATCTGTCCGTGGTATAGTGGGAGATGGAGAGGAAGTGTACAGGAAGACACGAGGGGAGGTGAGGATAAAGTGGGGAAGTAATGCATGAAAACAAGCTTATATGCGATCATAAGACAAACTGCAGAAGGCCTGTAGGCTCAAACGAGGCAGATCGTAATGGTGAAGAATCATTAAAATAGCAGAAAATGTAATCGGGGAAAAAAAGGAATAAAGGTGAAATTAGCCTTAAAATTCCAGATAAATGATGGTAGTGAACACATGGTGGTAGAAGCGTACCTCTGGGGACGGCGTCGTAGTGTTGGACTAGAGGAAGGTGGAGGAGGGCAGCCAGCGCCTGGGCCTCGGGGTTGTGGCCGTCGACAAAGATGGTGATGGGTGTGTTGGTGCCGCCGGGGCTGGCCCACACCTGCCCCACCTGACGCAGGACGTGGGGCAGCCGGCGAGCTGTCACTATGGCCACAGGGATCACCTCCTTCATCTCGTACTCCACCTCATACACAACACTATTAGTCCGCAGACCTTACAACAACCAATTGTAATATTTTAAAGTATTACAGTATTACATGTTAACCAAAATTCCGCAAGACACAATACGGAATTTCTTTCCTTGTTATATAACATGTTTTGTAAGTTGGACAATAGGAGCAATGTCTTACTGGGTGTTGTGGGAGGGGCGACCAGGGCGGGTGGTGACAGGTGCAGAAGTCACCATAACCGTCATAAGTGTCACAGAAGGCGGCCCTCTCCTGCAGCCCCGCCACGCCATACCACCCACACCCTCCACCTGGAAGATACACAGGACACTGTTCTTCGTGTATATTGTAACAGCATCTAGATATAGTAGTAGGCATCCATCAGTGTCAGGAGACTATGGAGTTGCGCTCAGGTTGTCGGTCTGGAGTGGCCTCTCCAGGGCGCAAAGCCTGGGTAGGTTGATACGGAGAAGCTGTTACCCAAGCAGCAGGTCCCCCTCCCCTCCACGGCGCCGAAAGTATCCAATAACACATTCAAATAATACATGTTGCGTACTGGCAGCACACGTATCCCGCGCCTCGCTAGTGATTTTGCCTGGGTTTGAGCCCTGTTCAGGGAACAACTGGGCAAGAATTCGTAACTCTTCACCGCAGTTCATTCAGCAGTAGTTGGAGGCCTGGTTGCAAACGGTTTGTCCGTCGCGTTCCAGGGAAAATTAGTGGAATAAGGCTTAACATGACTTATTGAGACGGAAAGCTCTTAAGTCTACTGTCAGGAGTCAGAAGTCGTCTTCTGAACCATCCTCTGTGTATAAATGATCCCATACCAGCTCTACTTTGTGCAACTCTCAGTTTGTGACATCTGACCTTTCTTGTGCCCGCTGCCCTCGTTTTGTTACCCCTGCCCCTTCTAGTGCTATCTATCCCCTTCTTGTTACTGTTAACTGTCCCTTCAGCACTCACCTGTCTTGCGAGGTACAGAGGCATGAAGAGTGAGGGGCGACACGTCCCACTCGGTGAGGTTGTGGAGTGGGAGAGAGGTGGTGAGGGCCTCGAGCAGCACCCCGCCGCCCTTGTGCACCAGCAGGCACCACGCGTCCTTGTAGGCCAACCTGTCGATGTAGAGGGCGCCTATCTCCTCCAGCACCCGTATTGTCGCTTCTCCCAGCGACGACGTGAAGTCCGGCTGTCGTGTGAGGTCATATTATTAGGTTATGGTTTGTGTGTTGATTGTTTCTGCCTGCAGGATCGAGCTGTGTACTTATCAATATTTACCTATCTGTGTCTACGGGGAAGTGAGATCTAGCTCCTGGTGCCCCACCTACTAGTCTTAATTGTACCTGTTGCGTTATAATTTAACTCTAATTTACATGTATTTCATTTATTGACCACCCGTACAGGGTACGAGAGTTTCCCTACATTTCTTAGATTCATTTGCGTTTCCAGCTTCCACTTACGTCCTCTCGTCCTACTTTTTCTCAAAAAGAGAACTTTGCCAATTCCTCCCAGTACTTTATATGTTACGATCATGTCCCCTTTGTTATTTCTCTTCTCCAGGGTTGAGAGGTCTAGTACCCTTAACCTATCTTCAGAGCTTAGCTCTCTTAACTTTGATACTAAACTTGTTGCAAACCTTTGTTGTTCATTAATTTTGTCTGTTTGCTTCACAGGGTGCAGATTCCAGGTAGATTTTGCATATTCCAGCATTGGTCTAGTTAAGGCTGTGTGGCTTGCCTTGAAGGAGCCTTGGTTTAGTGTTCTAAACGACGTTCTAATGTTTACCAGCGTCCCGTGTGCTGCCGATGTTACCCTGTTTACGTGTGCCTCTGGAGATGTTCGCATTTCTGTTGAAATTATATTCGCATTTATATTGTTCGCATTTGTGTTGCTCACTTGGCCCCACAACATGAGATGATTTGATGAAATAACTATGCCAAAGCTCACCGCTAAGTGCCGTTGGGACGGTGGGGGAAATAGCCTTGGCTATTTCGTCTTTTGTACGGTCACGGTGGTCAAGTGGTTAAGGTACCAGTTACGCTAGTTGCATAGTGCCCCTGGCTGTCTGGGTTCGAGTCACTCCTGGGATGTGGAGTTTTCAGTTGCATATATCCTTGGGGACCATTCAAGCTTGTTCGCATTTGGTATATATATATATATATATATATATATATATATATATATATATATATATATATATATATATATGTATATATCGTACCTAGTAGCCAGAACGCACTTCTCGGCCTACTATGCAAGGCCCGATTTGCCTAATAGGCCGAGTGATTTTCTTTATTTTCAATAAATTGTTTCCTATTTGTTTATTATAAATATTATTATTATATTATATTAAAGCAAATTATTTATTTAATTATGTTAGTTTAGGTTAGGTTAAGATAGGTTAGGTTAGGTTAGGTAGGGTTGGTTAGGTTCGGTCATATTTCTACATTAGTTTTAACTCAAAATTTACACAAATTAGCTCATATATTATGAAATGAATAGCTTTATCATTTCATAAGAAAACAAATGAGAAAAATATTGAAATTTTGGAAAACTTGGCTTATTAGACAAATCGGGCCTTGCATCGTAGGCCAAGAACTGCGTTCTGGCTACTAGGTACGACATTATATATATATATATATATATATATATATATATATATATATATATATATATATATATATATATATATATATATATATATATATATATATATATATATATACATATATATACCAGCTTAAGAGATTATAATTTTTGGAACTATCAGGCTTTCTCGAGTTGGTGTCATGGTAGTTTAAGACATGGAGCAGTGGAGGTGGTTGGCCGTGAACGGTACTCACAGCTCCAGCGATGACCAGTAAGCGGCCGCGTTGTGTGTGGTGGAGTGCGGCCAGGAACTGACCCTCACTCGTCGGCTGCCAGGTCATGTAGGAATCCGCTGCCATCACTTGACCCGTATCCTGGTGCAGTGTGATCAAGTGGAGACCTGCGTGGAGCCGAGCCCGGCCCCTGCCCCAGGCCATGGTGTGGTTGAGAGCGGTGTATATCTGTGGCGAGGAGAGACAGAGATCACTGTAGAGTTACAAGAAAATGGTGTTTGGGTGAAGGTAAGGTAATTCTGAGGGAATAACGCTGTTGTTGTTGTTTCAGATTCAGCTACTCAGAACGAAATGTCCATGTAGCACGGGCTATAGTGAGCCCGTAATGGAAGGGAAAGTGCTAATTCAGTTTGACTGTATAGCACTTGGAAGTGATATGAGGATGAGGATCTGGGATAGGACGCAGGGAAGGAATGGTGACCAACCACCTGGACAATCGAGGATTGAACGGCGACCTGCAAGAAGCGAGGCCTCCGCTGTTCCAACCAATCCCAGTGATTGCACGTGTTTGGGGTGATGTCAAACAAATCACGAGTAAAATACCAGAGGTGAAACTCAAGTATTGATTACATTACGGGGACAGGAAGCCTGTTAGTCTTATTGAGGTTTTCCTATAGGCCACCAATTGACCTTATCCAGGATGCTATCAACTATAGCGAGTTATCTAACTCATGGATACCTATGTACTGCTAGGTGAACAAATATATTAGTTGTAAGGAAATGTGCCTAAACATCTCGCCTTGTCCAGAAAACAAATTCAGGTTCATTCGGTTGTTTTAACACGAACACTTAATATAATAATTTATGGTACACGTGAAAGATTTTTATTCGGGTTTTGATAAATTTCGAGTTAATGATAACACTAAATTTACCTTAAGATCTTAATACCTGGATCAGGGGTGGTAAACCTATGACACACGTGCTCATTGTGGCATGCGAACAGATTTTACTGGTACACTGCTTGCTGTACCGTTCCTTGATTCTTTAAACTCCACTCATAATAAGTAAATAAAGATTTTCATTACTGCCAAATGAAGCAGCGAATGAGAAGCAGACATTCAGGGCCTTCAGATACAATTTTCGAGCATCATTGATTCAACTGCTGATCAGTTTGTTTTAAGATTGACTAAATTCAGACCATTTGAAGAAACAGCAAAATTAATAAAGTGTAGTGTTAGACTAACTGAATTTGGAACAGTTGCAGTGGATTTATTTGGATAATTCTCAGATTCAGTTTATCGATTTACAAAGCAGCTCAATTTGGAGGCAAAAGTTTTTTTTTATTTAAGTGCTGAACAAGAAAATATTGAAAAAGATTGATTATTGACTGGACTAATGCAGGAAATTGCAGAAAATGAGGTTTTGAAATTCAGGAAATTCGTTTGCGATATTTTTTTACTAAAAATCAGGCTATGACAGAATTACCAGTATTTTCATCGACATATTCACACGAGACGTTGATTTCAGTCAGGAACTTCGTCAAGTGTAATTATAGGAGTAAACCTACTGATGAAACTAGTGCTGCTTAGCTCTCAACACAACCAAATCAAAGCCGGATATAAAATATGTCATCGCTGGAGCAGCAACAAAAGTCTCACTCGGAGTAAAATATCCTCATTTTCCTTTCTTTTATTGTTTAATGTTTTATAATATGAACCAAAGGTTATAATTTCACGTTCACATTTCTTGATGATTATAAGGTAAAATGCCATCTATGAATTATGTTATTTGTTAACTGTCTTGTTAAAAGCATTAATATTAATGATTTTTAACAAGCGTTCTAAAAACTTTATTTCAGTCTTTCTCTGTTATACTATTGCTAAAAGTAAAACAATAAATATACTCGTAAATATGGAACAGGACTTCCTTTTCCTTAAAGCTTATTGTTACAAAATTCATTAATTTTACTTCTTGGGAATCATTAGTTATTAATAGCATAATTCCTAAAGCTGTACAATTGAAAAACATTCAAAACAGTTATTGGCCGCCTAAACAGACTTCTTTAAGAATGCTTTCAAGAATTTTGTTCTCTTTCTCCATTCGAAATGATCAAATATAAATATAATCAGTGAGAATCCACAAGGTCTTCTCTGAATACTCTTTATTTTCTTCTTCGAGGCTATGGGTCCCTACAATTGCACCAGAGATGGTACCCCTATATATAATAATATAAGAACTGTATTATATTCTGAGGTTGAAACTTCCCAAGGTCACGCCAAATAAGTTTGTAGAGAAGTATTGCCACGTACACGCTCTCAAAAAGGTTCACCTTCCTAATCTTAGTTATTTATTATAATATATATAAAAACTACTAGTTAATATGTAACTAGGCTGAAAATCGTGGTTTACATAAAGACAGAGGAGTATTGCTTACCTGACGCCCATCAGTCTTTAAGGACACACCTGTCGCATTAACCGTAATGTCCACAAGTATATAGTTTTCTGAAATCGTTCTTGAGGAGTCATTATTTGGCTTAACATCTCCTTCGAGAGACTCTCGAAGTCCGGTTGCATTTCCTCGAAGTGTAAAAAAGAAATCGGAAGCTAAATATGGTCTTGAATTTAACGGAGAGATTTCAGAATTCTCCTGAATGGTTGTTCCTGTAACGAATGCTCCAGGAACCAGCCTATCTATCGGTTCAGAATCTATAGATCCAGAGACAGGGAGAACAACATTTGGATTTCGAAGATCTCTTGGCCTTAAGTGCTCAGAGGCCAGTTGATTTTCCCGTAGAGGAAGCCTTGGAAGCGAGACTTCGTGAGATGCGAGCCTCATTTTCTTAGGGAGATCGAGTGACACACTTGACTCATTTACTTTTGAAGGGAAAATTGTGAGAAAAGCGGTGGCTTCCGCCTGTAAATTAGAGGCTTTATAATGCATTGTTGGTGCAGGTGGGACACTTGTTGCTGCTGTAGGTGCAGGTGGGACACTTGTTGCTGCTGTAGGTGCAGGTGGGACACTTGTTGCTGCTGTAGGTGCAGGTGGGACACTTGTTACTGCTGTAGGTGCAGGTGGGACACTTGTTACTGCTGTAGGTGCAGGTGGGACACTTGTTGCTGCTGTAGGTGCAGGTGGGACACTTGTTACTGCTGTAGGTGCAGGTGGGACACTTGTTACTGCTGTAGGTGCAGGTGGGACACTTGTTGCTGCTGTAGGTGCAGGTGGGACACTTGTTGCTGCTGTAGGTGCAGGTGGGACACTTGCTGTAGTTGCTAGCAGGTCTCTCACTGGAAAGGAGGCTTCATAACCAACTGGAAGTAAAGATGCAGGCGGGGTTGGAACTCTTGTTCCTGAACTTCTTGGAGCCAACTCGTCTTTCCCAGAAAAGTAAACTAATGAAATGTTTAAGTTCTCTGAAGCAAGAAAAGTATCAGTTGTTGATAATTGTCTTAAAAGAGAATGATCATATACTAATGAAATTACTGTTGGCAGGAGAACAGTTTGTGCTATTGGAACTCCTGTTGACTGGGAAACACTGAATGCTACTGGAACTCCTTCTGTTGGCTGGGAAACGCTGAATGCTACTGGAACTCCTTCTGTTGACTGGGAAACACTGAGTGCTATTGGAACACCTTCTGTTGGCTGGGAAACACTGAGTGCTACTGGAACTCCTTCTGTTGACTGGGAAACACTGAGTGCTATTGGAACACCTTCTGTTGGCTGGGAAACACTGAGTGCTATTGGAACACCTTCTGTTGACTGGGAAACACTGAGTGCTACTGGAACTCCTGGCTTGTTTTTGAGTGTTGTTCGAAAATCGAATCTTCTTGATGTTTGTGATGGGATTGTGATGTACATTTCCGTAAGGTCGGGCGAGTACCCGAGACTCGTTGTTGTGGAGACTCCTGAAATAGACAGCGGTGAACCACTAACAGTCATTGTATTCTCTGTTTTGTTGTATAAATTAGTGGTGGTTACTTGTGTATTACCACTGTTATTTGTGCTTACGTTGTTTATATTCCCAGTGGGAGTATTTTTCACTAGGACTGTGTTGTGGTTACCACTACTGGACTCTGCCTCCCCAGAGCCAGCAAGGTGACGTCGAACGCTGTTATCAAGTACGTTTCCAAACGCACCCACCTTATTACCGTTTAGTATATTCTTAATTATATCACCGTTATTCTTAATGATATTACCGTTATTCTTAATATCAACGTTATTCTTAATGATATCAACGTTATTCTTAATGATATCAACGTTATTCTTAATGATATCAACATTATTCTTAATGATATCACCGATATTATTCATGATTTCAATGTTATTCTTTATGATGTCAACGTTTAATGTCCGCGAACTTCTCGTCTTACTCTGAGTATCTTCGGAAGAAGGACTTGGAACAAGAGGTCTTCTTGTGGCTCTGTCCCTTGTGAGGTCGTCGCCGGAGAAGTTTATGATGACAAGAACTACAACGTTAAGCAAGGTGATTATCGTAATGCCCAGCACTCTCCTTTGGCCCTTGGTCTTAAGCATCGTGGCACTGAGGGCAGGTTGAGCGTAGCAGTGGAGCCTCGTGGCACTGAGGGCAGGTTGAGCGTAGCAGTGTAGCCTCGTGGCACTGAGGGCAGGTTGAGCGTAGCAGTGGAGCCTCGTGGCACTGAGGGCAGGTTGAGCGTAGCAGTGGAGCCTCGTGGCACTGAGGGCAGGTTGAGCGTAGCAGTGGAGCCTCGTGGCACTGAGGGCAGGTTGAGCGTAACAGTGGAGCCTCGTGGCACTGAGGGCAGGTTGAGCGTAGCAGTGGAGCCTCGTGGCACTGAGGGCAGGTTGAGCGTAGCAGTGGAGCCTCGTGGCACTGAGGGCAGGTTGAGCGTAGCAGTGTAGCCTCGTGGCACTGAGGGCAGGTTGAGCGTAGCAGTGGAGCCTCGTGGCACTGAGGGCAGGTTGAGCGTAGCAGTGGAGCCTCGTGGCACTGAGAGCAGGTTGAGCGTAGCAGTGGAGCCTCGTGGCACTGAGGGCAGGTTGAGCGTAACAGTGGAGCCTCGTGGCACTGAGGGCAGGTTGAGCGTAGCAGTGGAGCCTCGTGGCACTGAGGACAATTGGTCAGTAAGCAGTTGATGTGGTCTTAATAACCGTCCAGAGGCTGGTAGTCCGCGAGCCCAACACCCGCACCAAACTGACTGACTTGCCCCGGACCACAACCGCCTTCAAGGAGGGACTTGGTGACGCACCTCAGCCCTCGGGGAGGGGGGGGGGGTGCAACGCCTCCAGGCTCCTGGGGGATGTATCGTTAAATCATATTCAAGACGATTCGACAAAGCTCATTTTTTTCTGCTTGTAAATATCGTATTTACCTGAGTTTAGGCTGGACTCGGTTGGGTTAAATCCAGTGGAGATGTTTTGTGGGATATGGCATCCGGCGGCTGCGACCGGGAGGACGGGGTGTAGGTGGCCACGTCACAAGGTGCGCTCTAGCCACTTTGTTCCTTCACGTTATCATTCCTGTGATGTACGAGGTGATGTTTTGGGCAGTTGAAGTACTCTGGGGATTTGGGGATTATTTGGCTTTTGCAAATATTTGTTAAAAGTGATGATTTTTTCTGTTGTTATCTATTGGGTTTTATGTCTAGTTTCCTCCTCCCATTACACACCTTACTTCTCCCTCTCTCTCTCTCTCTCTCTCTCTCTCTCTCTCTCTCTCTCTCTCTCTCTCTCTCTCTCTCTCTCTCTCTCTCTCTCTCTCTCTCTCTCTCTCTCTCTCTCTCTCTCTCTCTCTCTCTCTCTCTCTCTCTCTCTCTCTCTCTCTCTCTCTCTCTCTCTCTCTCTCTCTCTCTCTCTCTCTCTCTTTCATATTCGTATTACTTAAAATATCTTTCACTTTATATGGATTTCTTTCATACTTAAACATATCATTTCTCTTCAACCCTTCAATGGGTAAATGTGCTCCTCCCTGATCCCCTCCGTGGGTGAGGGGTGAGTCTCCCTGATCCCCTCCGTGGGTGAGGGGTGAGTCTCCCTGATCTCTACTTATGAATCATAATGAATAAAGTGTATTCAGTTCATATATTAACATCCTTCTTTTGTTTGTTTCAGGTAAGTGAAGGCGGGCAACGTTTTCCGACTCAACCAGGTAAGAAATGTTCTTAATTGTGAAAGAGGTAACATGACGTGGGGTGGATGATCCCTTCATCCACCCCACGTCACCCCTTCATCCACCCCACGTCACCCCTTCATCCACCCCACGTCACCCCTTCATCCACCCCACGTCACCCCTTCATCCACCCCACGTCACACCTTCATCCACCCCACGTCACCCCTTCATCCACCCCACGTCACCCCTTCATCCACCCCACGTCACCCCTTCATCCACCCCACGTCACCCCTTCATCCACCCCACGTCACACCTTCATCCACCCCACGTCACCCCTTCATCCACCCCACGTCACCCCTTCATCCACCCCACGCCACCCCTTCATCCACCCCACGTCACCCCTTCATCCACCCCACGTCACCCCTTCATCCACCCCACGTCACCCCTTCATCCACCCCACGTCACATCAATATCATTCAAATTAAAACGTAATTCAAATAAAATTGCACATTTATTATTTATTTAGTTGACAATAAATACACAAATGCAAAACCCGTAATCGTTATATCAACATTATATTATACACGTGACGGTCATTAACGGTATGATGCTCAGTGCATGAAAAATACATTATAGACAACAGTGAATTATATAACTATTCGTGGGGTTATTATAAAAGACTGGAAACATTAAATTGTCATAAACTGTTTTATATCGAGATATAGACGATTCTGAAGTCTTGTTCTCACACAGATTGTAATTATGTTGGAGACAATTAGAGGTGTGTCAGGTACATTGGTCAAGAAGGAAGATTAGTATGACCCATATGATACATATTTTAAACTTGTGACAAATATAATACGAATTTCTACGAAAAAGCCCAGCCTCAAAACTCTGCCTCAACAAGAGAGCCACGGGTTAATCCTGGATCAACACACTCTGCTAACTTTATTCTGCATGTCGAGCCTGGCCTCGGGCCGGACCCGGGGAGTAGAACTCCCAAAACCCTCTCCAAGTATGCTCCAGGTATGCTCCACGTATGTTGCCCTGCGTCATTATCACTCGTTCTGTGGTTGCATGTTCGTAGTCTTGGCATTTCATGCGAGGTTTGAGTGACCAGTGATAAGGTTTTATCGGGAGAAAGCGCCAAGTCATTACGACTATATAGAACTTGGCAGGGGGGGTTTAGGATAAGGATTTTGGAATGGGACGGGGATGCGGGAACGGAAGTGTCCAACCACTTGGACGGTCGGGGATTGAACGCCGACCTGTATGAAGCGAGACCGTCGCTCTACCGTCCAGCCCAAGTGGTTGTCTATGAAAAAGAACTTATGATTGCTGGATGGGTGAGTCCGTTCAGATAATAGTATTTATAGTTATTTTGTGGTTTATTTCTTCAAGTGTAATCACCGAGTTGGGGATTATAATTAGTGTGAGAGTGATGACTTGTGATATAATTTGAATATTTCCTCCAGTCACAGTTCAGCTTACGAAGCTGAGCATATTGTAGGGCACAAAGTATACCCATACAAACTCAGACACTGGCTAGTATACTACTTTCTACCAGGTTTAATGATCAAAATTACTCAAGTTGAAATGTGTTGTGACTTTTAAATCTTTGATAGCATTAGAAAAATGTACAAGCGGTCCCTTTTAGGATATAATATGCCTCGGATGGTTTTTGGAATATTTTATTGAAATATCTCTGCCCAGTAGTCTTATTTATGATCTGGACAATACTTATATCACCTCTTCATCCAAACATCGTACCCTGAGGGACTACTCTCTCCATGTCCCTATACTTCTCATATGTGGTAAGGTCCCTTGTCCCTCGCGGCTAGTCAGTCGTATATTAAGAGGTTGGTGAGGCTGACCTCGTCCTGGAGAGAGATGGGCGCGACTCTCTGCGCGATGCGCCTTTGACTGGTTAGCGGTCTCCTGAAGGGGTGGTTGGAGGCTAGCGTCACAGCCTCTGGCGTCGGGCTGTAGATCACCTCCGGGTTCTTCGTCAGACTACGGGTGGTGCAGCTTGGTGTTAGACGATTACTGCTTCCAGCTACTGATAAGTGCTTGTACACACACACACGCGCGCGCGAACAAGGGGACACAGGTGGAAACTGAGTACCCAAATGAGCCACAGAGACATTATAAAGAACTTTTTCAGTGTAAGAGTAGTTAACAGGTGGAATGCATTAGGCAGTGATATGGTGGAGGCAAACTACATACACAGTTTCAAATGGAGATATGATAGAGTCCAGTAGGCTCAGGAATCTGTTCGCCAGTTGATTGACAGTTGAGAAGCGGAACCAAAGAGCCAGAGCTCAACCCCCGCAAGCACAACTAGGTGAGTACACACACACACACACACACACACACACACACACACACACACACACACACACACACACACACACACACACACACACACACACACACACACACACACACACACTAAACAACTCATCATGATAATCGTTATATCAAAATAAGAGTATAAGAATGAGCTGGAACTGTGTTGAGGTGAAAGAATATCTGCGCGTCAGGCAGCGAAGAGTAGAGTTCGTGGTAGAGTAAATATGGCAACGAAGGAATGTACCGAGCAGGGTACCATGGCAATCACAACTACGTCCCATACTGTTATATGTCACTGAATTAACTGACAATGATTGATCCTATATGACAGCGTTTGAAGATGAATGCAAATCTGTTAAGACGAGATTGAACAGAGGAAAATTTCAGAATACTCCCATGAAAACCATGGGTTAATGGGGGAGTAGAGAAGTGATATTAGCAATGGCTTCTTGACTTAAAAGTACAATGTAATACGATTTGATACAAAATATATGATTAAAAAATTGGTAACTTCACACATGGAGCCCGAGTGACTAACCAGAAGGGGGAGTTGGGGCAGCCGACGACGTAGAGCTGGTTCCCGTAGAAGGAAGCTGTGTACATCATCTGCAGGTTCTCGTGGAAGATGTGGTCATCAAGGCCCAGACACTGACGGATCAGAAGACGGTGTCACAAGAACATGGATCATAAGTGCATTTGTGTGCGGGGAGGGGGGGGGGGGGGGTTCTGTCCATCTGCCTGTCTGTATCTGTATCAATTTGTCTCAGTATTCACGTGGTGGAGTTTGGCTCGAGATTAGTGCTGTATGGGGTGTATAGGGGGTAGACATATGGTAGAACTGTGGGTAGACTGTAAAGAAGATGTTACGCAGAGGCAATTAAGATACGCCGCAGGGTACTCACCCTGGCGACGACGTAGTAGGCCCGGGAGGAGTTGATAGTCTCGTCGGGCTGGTTGATGTACACTACGTAACTCACGTTCACCTGCGGGACAGTGAAGCAGTCACTGCTCTGGAACACCTGGGTCACTATTGTGTTCCAGCTTCCAGTGAGAACACGTTGAGTGAAGAGTAGGCAAAGGCTCGTTAATCCAGCCGCCAAACCCTCCTCTTTATGAACCCAAATTACTACACGACTTTCAACCAATTACGTTCGAGGGATTTTGAAAAGTGTTCGTTTTCCTGTGTTCAAATGGCACTTCTAAAACGACTTCCCTCACTTAAAGCAAATGTATATAATTGCCAACAGAACCGAAACACCTAACCCAACCGATCCTAGGCCTAACTGTACACAAAATTATATTAGTTAATGGGTATATATCCCTGGTATTTACAGGCTTATTATGCAGATATGATAAAATATAAGGGAAACGTTTGTGAGTAGATCACGTTAACCTGGTGCTTGGGTATGGGCAGATCTTCACAGGAATGTGGGTAGGACATTCTTCTAACCTGGTGCGTGGGTATGGGCAGGTGCTCACAAGGATGTGGGTAGGACATGCTACTGACCTGGTGCTTGGGTATGGGCAGGTGCTCACAAGGATGAGCGGTAAAACGCACCACATGTCCACGTCTAATGTTGTCGAGGTGGACCTTGAGGTAGTTGTCCTTCTCTGCTCTGTGGACCATAGAATTAGCATCATAGTTGATATATGCAGCAGTAAATAATTTACTGTAAACATGTGTAAACTAACCCAACAATAAATGTATAATTTGAATTGAGTATGTGATAATTATACACCTGTATTTTTATGCATACACGTTTAGTATATGGGTTTAGTAACATGGTCATAGAACACACATCGAAGTTCCATCTGGTAATGCAGAAAGTATTAAAGTCTCCCATGTGAGGAGTTTTAAACAAGTAAGGTTTTTCATTTCTTTTATATCGAAACAAAATTACCTCCTGTGGAGACGGCCGTAAATCCTCAGTTCTTGTCATCACCCATAGGGAAGTGTTCCATCCGTGGACGTAGAGGGTGACAACTTACCCGTGGACGTAGAGGGGTGACAACTTACCCGTGGACGTGGAGGGTGACAACTTACCCGTGGACGTAGAGGGTGACAACTTACCCGTGGACGTAGAGGGTGACAACTTACCCGTGGACGTAGAGGGGTGACAACTTACCCGTGGACGTGGAGGGTGACAACTTACCCGTGGACGTAGAGGGTGACAACTTACCCGTGGACGTAGAGGGTGACAACTTACCCGTGGACGTAGAGGGTGACAACTTACCCGTGGACGTAGAGGGTGACAACTTACCCGTGGACGTAGAGGGTGACAACTTACCCGTGGACGTAGAGGGTGACAACTTACCCGTGGACGTGGAGGGTGACAACTTATCCGTGGACGTGGAGGGTGACAACTTACCCGTGGACGTGGAGGGTGACAACTCACCCGTGGACGTGGAGAGTGACAACTTACCCGTGGATGTGGAGGGTGACAACTTACCCGTGGACGTGGAGGGTGACAACTTACCCGTGGACGTGGAGGGTGACAACTTACCCGTGGAGGTCGAGGGTGACGTTGAGGAGAGCGTTGAGGGGCCGCTGGTTGTAGTACTGCTCTTGTTCTATACCGGTGACGTGGACTCCCCCTCCCCCACGGTGCTTGGTGCGTGGGATCTCCGGCACCAGGATGTCCCGATCACCCATTATGGTCTGTCGCACCCACTGATCCCAGTCTATACCCTGTGGCATAGTCAACTATCAATCTCACAGATTCCACCCTGTGGCACAGACAAGTTTCTTTTAGTCTTAATTCAAAGTTAAGGAAGTAGTGCTATCTCTTAAAGCCCCCTTTGTTTTAACACACATGAGATCCCCACCAAACCACACACTAGTAAGTGAAGGGACGACGACGTTTCGGTCCGTCCTGGACCATTCCCAAGTCGATTGTGACTTGACTTGAGAATGGTCCAGGACGGACCGAAACGTCGTCGTCCCTTCACTTTCTAGTGTGTGGTTTGGTCAACATATTTCAGCCACGTTATTGTGACTCCTCGTCTACACACACGAGATCAATATAACTATTTCAGGAAGTTGAGTAATGGTTCTAACCAAGTGTGTAGGGATCCAGTTACTGATCAGCTGGCGGGCCACCTGCCTCCTGACCATCCAGCCACAGGCAGGGACCCCATGAACTCTGTAGAGGCGGGAGGGTGAGTGGGAGGTGTGGCTGAAGGCGTTGTGGTTGTAGGCGTTGACGCACAGGAGGCTGGGGTCCGTGGAGAGCAGCACCGCCGTCTGCTGGAAGAACCTGTCCAGGGGCAGTAAAACCTGTTATTCTTTATTGGATAATCTTCTTGTTTGAGGAGCTGTTCACTTGAGACAGTTAAGCAAGTCCCAGCTGTGTCTGGGTACAAGTGACAGGATGAACAACCCAGCGGGTTTTCTTCCTTTTGGGGAGTGTTGTACATGCTGCTATGGCGGTGTGTCCACTCACAGGATGAGTGGCGCTGCCCAATAAACTCGCCCCCCGGGGCAAAATTTAAAAATTCAAAAAACTTTATTGGATCGATGGTTTTAATAAAGATTATCTTGCAGAAAGTAAATCACAACAACGAGGTTGAATGTTATACACCCAATCCATAAATCTGAAATAAAGAGAGAATTTACGTTTCATACCGTCCAGGACCATTATATAATCGTATATTATAGGGGTACCACCTCTGGTGCAATTGTAGGGACCCCTAGCCTCGGAAAAGAGAATAAAGGGCATTCAGAGAAGACCTTGTGGATTCTCACTGAACACTTGAATATGTTCTTCTCCTACCTCCTTTATTTTTGTATTATACTATACAATATAATAATATATAATAATATATTGTAAATTAATAGATGTTGTAGTGCAAAAAGTTTATTACAAATTAATATTATAAGGTGTGCAGATTAGGTGAAACTATAAATGTAAAAATATCCATTGAGGTCTGAGTATGACCTTTTATGCACTTTGTAATCCTTTTTGCGCTACCGCTCACAGGATGAGTATGGGGTGCACAATAAGCTATCATTCATAGGATAAGTATCCGGCGGCAATACTAAAACAAATCTTCACCTTTTCTCTTCCTTTGAAGGTTAGGTGTCTAAAATTACCTTAATTTGGAATCATTTGTTGAATTGTATTTAATCTCTGGCACATCGCAACAACTTGCTTGTTGACAACTGGACCTGTGGACATACTCACGGGATGAAATCAGGCGCGAGGTCCAGGTCGTCCTCCAAGATGATGGCCTTGTCTACCTGGAGGTGCATCTCGAACACTTTAGTCAAGACGAACTTCATATGGGAGTTTATTCGACTTGTCGAGCCTGTGTCAGGAATTTTTTTATTGCAGTATCGATATACCTAAATTTACGTTGATATATTTCTTCAATATATTTTATTTCAATGCAAGAGTGATTAAAATCAAATTGCAAAGCATTAAATGGTGTGTTTTGCAGTGATTAATACTATTATTAAACAACTGGATGGTGAAAATCATGTACAAACTGGCCTCTTGTGACAGGATTGTGGTGTTGGACTAGAGGGAGGTGGAGGAGGGCAGCCAGCGCCTGGGCCTCGGGGTTGTGGCCGTCGACAAAGATGGTGATGGGTGTGTTGGTGCCGCCGGGGCTGGCCCACACCTGCCCCACCTGACGCAGGACGTGGGGCAGCCGGCGAGCTGTCACTATGGCCACAGGGATCACCTCCTTCATCTCGTACTCCACCTCATACACAACACTATTAGTCCGCATACCTTACAACAACCAATTGTAACATTTTAAAGTATTACAGCATTACATGTTAACCAAAATTCCGCAAGACACAATACGGAATTTCTTTCCTTGTTATATAACATGTTTTGTAAGTTGGACAATAGGAGCAATATCTTACTGGGTGTTGTGGGAGGGGCGACCAGGGCGGGTGGTGACAGGTGCAGAAGTCACCATAACCGTCATAAGTGTCACAGAAGGCGGCCCTCTCCTGCAGCCCCGCCACGCCATACCACCCACACCCTCCACCTGGAAGATACACAGGACACTGTTCTTCGTGTATATTGTAACAGCATCTAGATATAGTAGTAGGCATCCATCAGTGTCAGGAGACTATGGAGTTGCGCTCAGGTTGTGGGTCTGGAGTGGCCTCTCCAGGGCGCAAAGCCTGGGTAGGTTGATACCGAGAAGCTGTTACCCAAGCAGCAGGTCCCCCTCCCCTCCACGGCGCCGAAAGTATCCAATAACACATAAAAATAATACATGTTGCGTACTGGCAGCACACGTATCCCGCGCCTCGCTAGTGATTTTGCCTGGGTTTGAGCCCTGTTCAGGGAACAACTGGGCAAGAATTCGTAACTCTTCACCGCAGTTCATTCAGCAGTAGTTGGAGGCCTGGTTGCAAACCGTTTGTCCGGTCGCGTTCCAGGGAAAATTAGTGGAATAAGGCTTAACATGACTTATTGAGACGGAAAGCTCTTAAGTCTACTATCAGAAGTCAGAAGTCGTCTTCTGAACCATCCTCTGTGTATAAATGATCCCATACCAGCTCTACTTTGTGCAACTCTCAGTTTGTGACATCTGACCTTTCTTGTGTCCGCTGCCCTCGTTTTGTTTCCCCTGCCCCTTCTAGTGCTATCTATCCCCTTCTTGTTACTGTTAACTGCCCCTTCAGCACTCACCTGTCTTGCGAGGTACAGAGGCATGAAGAGTGAGGGGCGACACGTCCCACTCGGTGAGGTTGTGGAGTGGGAGAGAGGTGGTGAGGGCCTCGAGCAGCACCCCGCCGCCCTTGTGCACCAGCAGGCACCACGCGTCCTTGTAGGCCAACCTGTCGATGTAGAGGGCGCCCATCTCCTCCAGCACCCGTATTGTCGCCTCTCCCAGGAACGACGTGAAGTCCGGCTGTCGTGTTAAGTTGTTCAGTTATTATGTAAGATATTTCCACTCTAGGTTATCTAAACTATTACCAAATTGCATCAAAGTAATTCTCATAAGAGTAGTTGCAACGCAGAAACATTTGTAAATCAATGTGTAGCGCATGCTACAATGCCTTAAGAGACAACACATGATTCTGACATCATTAGTATGCTGGCATTAGTATTAGTATACCTGTCCGGGGTTTGTTGCTAATTATAACCGACGGGTTAGTATGCGGAGTCAAACTAATAATGAACTAATAGTGATTTAGCACATAAGATTAACAGCCTTACTATGAAAGATATCACGAGAGACATTGATATTGAGTATTGGTCTAAATTCATTCTGAAGTCGCTGGTTAGGCGTCCTCCACCCTGAGACAGGAGTAAATATACCAACTCCAGCAGGAGTAAATATACCAACTCCAGCAGGAGTAAATATACCAACTCCAGCAGGAGTAAATATACCAACTCCAGCAGGAGCAAATATACCAACTCCAGCAGGACTAAATATACCAACTCCAGCAGGAGTAAATATACCAACTCCAGCAGGAGTAAATATACCAACTCCAGCAGGAGTAAATATACCAACTCCAGCAGGAGTAAATATACCAACTCCAGCAGGAGTAAATATACCAACTCCAGCAGGAGTAAATATACCAACTCCAGCAGGAGTAAATATACCAACTCCAGCAGGAGTAAATATACCAACTCCAGCAGGAGTAAATATACCAACTCCAGCAGGAGTAAATATACCAACTCCAGCAGGAGTAAATATACCAACTCCAGCAGGAGTAAATATACCAACTCCAGCAGGAGTAAATATACCAACTCCAGCAGGAGTAAATATACCAACTCCAGCAGGAGTAAATATACCAACTCCAGCAGGAGTAAATATACCAACTCCAGCAGGAGTAAATATACCAACTCCAGCAGGAGTAAATATACCAACTCCAGCAGGAGTAAATATACCAACTCCAGCAGGAGTAAATATACCAACTCCAGCAGGAGTAAATATACCAACTCCAGCAGGAGTAAATATACCAACTCCAGCAGGAGTAAATATACCAACTCCAGCAGGAGTAAATATACCAACTCCAGCAGGAGTAAATATACCAACTCCAGCAGGAGTAAATATACCAACTCCAGCAGGAGTAAATATACCAACTCCAGCAGGAGTAAATATACCAACTCCAGCAGGAGTAAATATACCAACTCCAGCAGGAGTAAATATACCAACTCCAGCAGGAGTAAATATACCAACTCCAGCAGGAGTAAATATACCAACTCCAGCAGGAGTAAATATACCAACTCCAGCAGGAGTAAATATACCAACTCCAGCAGGAGTAAATATACCAACTCCAGCAGGAGTAAATATACCAACTCCAGCAGGAGTAAATATACCAACTCCAGCAGGAGTAAATATACCAACTCCAGCAGGAGTAAATATACCAACTCCAGCAGGAGTAAATATACCAACTCCAGCAGGAGTAAATATACCAACTCCAGCAGGAGTAAATATACCAACTCCAGCAGGAGTAAATATACCAACTCCAGCAGGAGTAAATATACCAACTCCAGCAGGAGTAAATATACCAACTCCAGCAGGAGTAAATATACCAACTCCAGCAGGAGTAAATATACCAACTCCAGCAGGAGTAAATATACCAACTCCAGCAGGAGTAAATATACCAACTCCAGCAGGAGTAAATATACTAACTCCAGCAGGAGTAAATATACCAACTCCAGCTCCGGTAGGAGTAAATATACCAACTCCAGCAGGAGTAAATATACCAACTCCAGTAGGAGTAAATATACCAACTCCAGCAGGAGTAAATATACCAACTCCAGCAGGAGTAAATATACCAACTCCAGCAGGAGTAAATATACCAACTCCAGCAGGAGTAAATATACCAACTCCAGCAGGAGTAAATAGCAGGAGTACCAACTCCAGCAGGAGTAAATATACCAACTCCAGCAGGAGTAAATATACCAACTCCAGCAGGAGTAAATATACTCCAGCAGGAGTAAATATACCAACTCCAGCAGGAGTAAATATACCAACTCCAGCAGGAGTAAATATACTAACTCCAGCAGGAGTAAATATACCAACTCCAGCAGGAGTAAATATACCAACTCCAGCAGGAGTAAATATACAGGAGTAACTCCAGCAGGAGTAAATATACCAACTCCAGCAGGAGTAAATATACCAACTCCAGCAGGAGTAAATATACCAACTCCAGCAGGAGTAAATATACCAACTCCAGCAGGAGTAAATATACCAACTCCAGCAGGAGTAAATATACCAACTCCAGCAGGAGTAAATATACCAACTCCAGCAGGAGTAAATATACCAACTCCAGCAGGAGTAAATATACCAACTCCAGCAGGAGTAAATATACCAACTCCAGCAGGAGTAAATATACCAACTCCAGCAGGAGTAAATATACCAACTCCAGCAGGAGTAAATATACCAACTCCAGCAGGAGTAAATATACCAACTCCAGCAGGAGTAAATATACCTCCAGCAGGAGTAAATATACCAACTCCAGCAGGAGTAAATATACCAACTCCAGCAGGAGTAAATATACCAACTCCAGCAGGAGTAAATATACCAACTCCAGCAGGAGTAAATATACCAACTCCAGCAGGAGTAAATATACCAACTCCAGCAGGAGTAAATATACCAACTCCAGCAGGAGTAAATATACCAACTCCAGCAGGAGTAAATATACCAACTCCAGCAGGAGTAAATATACCAACTCCAGCAGGAGTAAATATACCAACTCCAGCAGGAGTAAATATACCAACTCCAGCAGGAGTAAATATACCAACTCCAGCAGGAGTAAATATACCAACTCCAGCAGGAGTAAATATACCAACTCCAGCAGGAGTAAATATACCAACTCCAGCAGGAGTAAATATACCAACTCCAGCAGGAGTAAATATACCAACTCCAGCAGGAGTAAATATACCAACTCCAGCAGGAGTAAATATACCAACTCCAGCAGGAGTAAATATACCAACTCCAGCAGGAGTAAATATACCAACTCCAGCAGGAGTAAATATACAACTCCAGCAGGAGTAAATATACCAACTCCAGCAGGAGTAAATATACCAACTCCAGCAGGAGTAAATATACCAACTCCAGCAGGAGTAAATATACCAACTCCAGCAGGAGTAAATATACCAACTCCAGCAGGAGTAAATATACCAACTCCAGCAGGAGTAAATATACCAACTCCAGCAGGAGTAAATATACCAACTCCAGCAGGAGTAAATATACCAACTCCAGCAGGAGTAAATATACCAACTCCAGCAGGAGTAAATATACCAACTCCAGCAGGAGTAAATATACCAACTCCAGCAGGAGTAAATATACCAACTCCAGCAGGAGTAAATATACCAACTCCAGCAGGAGTAAATATACCAACTCCAGCAGGAGTAAATATACCAACTCCAGCAGGAGTAAATATACAGGAGTAAATATACAACTCCAGCAGGAGTAAATATACCAACTCCAGCAGGAGTAAATATACCAACTCCAGCAGGAGTAAATATACCAACTCCAGCAGGAGTAAATATACCAACTCCAGCAGGAGTAAATATACCAACTCCAGCAGGAGTAAATATACCAACTCCAGCAGGAGTAAATATACCAACTCCAGCAGGAGTAAATATACCAACTCCAGCAGGAGTAAATATACCAACTCCAGCAGGAGTAAATATACCAACTCCAGCAGGAGTAAATATACCAACTCCAGCAGGAGTCCAACTCCAGCAGGAGTAAATATACCAACTCCAGCAGGAGTAAATATACCAACTCCAGCAGGAGTAAATATACCTCCAGCAGGAGTAAATATACCAACTCCAGCTCCAGCAGGAGTAAATATACCAACTCCAGCAGGAGTAAATATACCAACTCCAGCAGGAGTAAATATACCAACTCCAGCAGGAGTAAATATACCAACTCCAGCAGGAGTAAATATACCAACTCCAGCAGGAGTAAATATACTAACTCCAGCAGGAGTAAATATACCAACTCCAGCAGGAGTAAATATACCAACTCCAGCAGGAGTAAATATACCAACTCCAGCAGGAGTA